GCGGATGCAGGTAGGTAGCGTCTCGAATATATTGCTCTAGCCATATAATGCCGAAACCACAAGCCTACTGCAACTCTATCTCTATCGGTGGGAGGTAGAAACTCTGTGCTTCTCGTCGTCAAACGCGCCAAGCACAAGCATACGAGAGGGCCACAATCCCCTCTGGCTCCCGGCGATTGTTGTGGCGCGGTCTCGTCTCTGACAACTGTGACATTGAACTTCTTTGGCTTCTTGTGTCCAGAATGAGTCCAACAATTAATCCCATCTAAGAATTTAGCCAAATGAGAGCTCCATCCCTTGATCATATCTCTCAAATCAGACAGTGATATGTAATTTATCATGCTGTCATACACTATTATCATCAGGGATGGGGGCTGAAGTTGGACGAGAAGCCAATGACGACGTTCCAAAACAGGGATAAACACCTGCAATCATAAGTAATAATTCATTTATTTGTGCACTTATTTATGAACACCTTTAAAAAATTTAAAAAATAAACACTAACCTTATCATCCTCCCACCATGCAGGATAAAGTTTAGCTTGTCCATTGCCCAACGAAAATGATTCATCTCGTTGATTCTTCAAGTGAACTGCGTGAAAAGCCCCCGGCATTATTGTATATCGCGAATTTTTTTTATTTTTCCTAAGCTTCCTTATTATTAGTAGACGTGACACCCACGCATCGATATGCTGTTTTACAAAAAAATACATATATTAGTGAATTACATTAATTTTTAAAAAAATTAATCAAAATCATATATAAGACAAATATAAGACTTACCTCCCCATCGAAATAGCCACTGTCTTCAACCCCTAATAGCACACCCCACCAAGACCGATCAAGCAATAAAAACATTTCATCGTTGAGTTTGCTTATGTCAGTGTAACACCCTTGGCTCCGCTCATGTAGATAAAAATCAACTGCATTCTTAGCCCAAAGGGTATTATCCACAATTATTTCGGTAGTTGTCTCCTCTCCACTTCAGATACCGGAAGGGTACTAGCCGGTAACTCATACGAGAGCCAACTCTCATCCATCATGTCCGAAACCGGTGGGGGTTTCTCAATACTTCGATATATTACCCCATGTGAATCGGGCTCTGGAATGGTGGGAGGGGCCTCTTCAACGATGACAGTGGCCTCTTGAACGGGGGGGGACTCTTGAGGGAGGATAGGGGCCTCTTGAACGATTGGAGGGGACTCTTGAGGGATGACAGGTGAGTCGGGCTTCTTCTTGCGGAGTCTTCGCACCATTGGGGTGAACGGAGACGTAATAGCACGTCCACGCCGTCTGATGCGTGAACTCCGTCGTGCAAGGAAAACCCGACGTAAAGCATCCACCTTATCGGGCCGCTAAAAAAAATTAATACATAAATCAGTAAATAAACATACATGATATTAAACAAATACAAATATGTTTCAAACTAGCATTGTATTCACCCAAGTCATTATTCTATCATAGTTCACAAAATGCTCAGATAACATTCCAGAAGTAAGCACTTATATAAACATTTAAAAGGACAACATATATAAACATTCCAGAAGAAGAATAGTTTACTTTCGCAACACGAAACTTAAAATCGCAACGCGAAAATGACTATCGCAACGCGGAAATGGCTATCGCAATGCAAAATGAAAATCGCAACGACAAAATCGCAATGCGAAATGAAAATCGCAACGACAAAATCGCAATGCGAAATGAAATCGCAACGACAAAATCGCAGCGCGAAACACAAATCGCATTGCGATTTTCATTTCGCGTTGCGATTTTGTCGTTGCGATTTTCATTTCGCATTGCGATAGCCATTTCCACGTTGCGATAGTCATTTTCGTGTTGCGAAAGTAAACTATTCTTCTTCTGCAAATTGAAACTTGAATGGATTGCATCACTTCAACCAAAAGACAAAAACAAAACCAAAAACAAATACTAACAAAAACAGTTTAGCAATATTGGCAGTAACCGAATGAATTACGAGTATGAGAAATCTTAAACTTACCTCGTTGCGTAGAGTATGAACCTCATTCTGCAACGATGCTACCATCTTACGTAGAGCGGCTTCCTCACCGCGTAATGTAGACACCTCAACACGCCATGCACCATCGTCTTTGCGTAAAGTACCGACCTCCTCACGCAAGGCATTGACCTCATCACATAATTCCCCTAACTCATCCCGTTGAGGTGGAGAACAGGGAGATAAACGTCGTGGCATATTTGCCGGTCGCCTATCTTGCGGTGATGGTGGAGAAGAGGCTCGATGATGTGACAGAATAGGTGATGGCTGTCGTTGTGGAGGTGTATAGCCGGGTCGATCAGATGATGGCTCTGGGTGAGGTGATAGCTCTGGGCGAGGTGATGGCTCCCGAAGTGGAGGCTGCTCATCAACCGTTCCATCAAAAAAACGCTTACTAGCTTGCCACCAATCAGTGGCAAGCTCAGCTTCCGTGGGTGTCAGCCTCTGTAGAGGAGTGTTGGCCTCCTAACAATATAAAAGCTCAAACAAAGTTAAACGTGTACTAGTAATAACTTGTTTATAAACATATGGTAGTATTTATGTTAACTTACATTATTTATTGTCGTATACCGTAGTAAATCTTCCCATTGCAAGGTCCGTTTCCTCTTCCAGGAAATAGCCCTGGGAATATCATTTGAAGTTTTTATTGCATATGTCTTCATGGCGGGAAAGGCCTCAAATATCCAAATCTACAAACAATATAATAACAAACATTAGTAATTGTTAAATAATTACTTATAATTTTGGAAACATTATATAAAAATTCTTACCTTAAAGGCCCAAATAAAGCCTGTCAAAGTGTATTTGGAACCATCGCCATGCAAACTTTTTCGATCATCCAAGGCAGACGATAACTTATTTCATGTAGCTTTCCATAAATACGAGCCCCACGGAAACAGGTTCCACGTATTTAGGTCTTCTACCAATTTGATTAGATCATTTGGAATAGGTTGTCTGGCCTCTCTGCCTAAAAAGCCGGCATACAAAAGAATTAGAAGGCATACTCGGACAACGTCGACGTCATCCATCCGAGTAAAACCATCTTTATTATTCAACAATCTTGTCAGGTCTTCTACGTGTAGATTCGGCCTCTCCAGCTCAGGAAAAACCCGGGATAGCCATGATGGGCGAGTAATGTGTCTAGTGTACCGACCTACATCATCGTGTCCGAAGCGTAGATCGGTGATTAAGCAAACCTCATCCCGCCCAAAACACGTATACGCCGGTGGAAAATCAAACCATATCTCTTCATCACGACGTTGTATAGTCTCTGGTAGATCGCTAGTCATGGTTTGAAGAAACAGGTGTGTCAACATCGCATCTCCACCGGGATGTTGTACTTTCAGCCATGGCCCGAAGCATGTATCCTCAAACATTTTTCTTTGTGCAGGTGAAAGCTTCGACGCAATTGTTTTGGCCAGGCTGACTTTATTTCTTAAGGTCAATTGAGCCGAATAAAAGTTCTACAAAAACAATAAACATACTAAGTTTGATATACCAAAAACTACACTGTGAAAATATACCAAAAACAATAATAAACATAAAGAGTAGTAGTTTATTCTTCAAACTTAAATTTGCAACACTGTGAATTTCGTATTTTTCTTTGTTTTTTGGTTGAAGTAATGCAATTCATTCAAGTTTCAATTTGCAGAAGAAGAATAGTTTCTGAAAATGAAAATCGCAACACGAAAATGACTATCGCAACGCGAAACTAAAATCGCGTTGCGATTTTCATTTCGCGTTGCGATTCTCGGTTGATTTAATAAGCAATCTAAGTGAAATGGTTAATCTATTATTGAAATTACCAGTAAACTTATCATCAATTTCAATATGAAAAACCTAATAATAATGCAAAAATTTCAAAAAGAAAATAATTAAAAAAACTAACCCTCGTTGGTTGATTTGGTTGATTTTCCATTTCTGATTGTGAGGGTGGCTCTGAGAGATGGAGATAGACGGATTTCGCCGGAGATGGGGACGGATTTCGTCGGAGATGGGTGAGAGAGTGAGAGATGGAGATGGGACTGAGTTGTGATTTTAGGTTTTAGGTTATGAGTTGCGATTACGGGATATACTGTGGACGGTTCAGTGTTCCAATATATTAATATTCGTGTTTGGAATTTAAAAATAAAATACTTGGCCAGGATACTAATGGCGCTTAGAAAATCGCATTGCGATTATGTATTATCGCGTTGCGACAGTCAGAATCGCGTTGCGATAGTCAGTATCGCATTGCGATTTTCCCAATTCTCGTTGCGATTTACTTATTCGCATTGCGAATTGGGAAAATCGCAACGACACTGTAGACCATCGCAACGCGAAATGCAACGCGAATTTGCGATAATGGAGATCGCGTTGCGAATTAGCGATCGCATTGCGATTTTGTTGGTCATTTTGACAAATCCGAAAAAAGTTGGTTAAAATCGTATATTATATGGGATTTTTGGTCACTGAGGTTATTTTCTCTTTTTTTTTATCTTAATTATTATAAAAAATATCTTTATTGTATATTTAATTTATTATTGTAATTGTAAACCATTATTATAATTTTATATATTTTGTCTCAATAAAATTAACTGATTATTTTTATAAAAAAATGCGTACTTTGTATGTTTAAAATTTAACTTCTCCATTTTAAAAATTTCTTTATTATTTGTTTAATAACTAAAATTTAATTTATATCAACAATAAGAGGAATTAAATTATATTATATTATGTGATTTTTTTCTAGAAACAATTGTAGTAAGTAATAATGATATTGTATATTTTATTTAAAAATATTTTTTAAATCTTAAAAATAATATTATAGTAATTATTAATATCGAACATGAATTATAAAATAGAAATAAATGACACTATAAGATTAAAAACAGAGGATTAAATTTGAAATATATGAATACGAGGATTGGTAGCAAAATTGAACCATTTATATTTGATTGTTGGAGCTTTTGTGTCATATCGTTTCTTCTCTCTCCATTGTCTTGTTCGGTTGTCCCTCTCCCCATTTTTCTCAAGTGGATCAAATATAAACAATAAGCTTAGCCCGTTTCTTTTTCAATTTCGTTTTTCTAATTTATTTAATGAATTCTCGAGTCCTCCATTTTTTCCTGTGAATCTGTTTTGGTTAGTGGTAGTGGTGGTTGCGACACTCTCCAATGGCGATTGAAGAGGACACTGAGAGCTGCGGTAGTAGAGCTGTGGACTCGTTGGCCCATGTGAATCCTCGACATCACAGGCAAAAGCTTGACGTTTTCAACGAGGTGCTTAAGCGTATCCAGGAGTCTAATTACGAGGAAGCTAATCTGCCTGGCTTCGATGATCAGCTCTGGCTTCATTTCAATCGACTCCCTGCTCGGTATTGCGTCTAACCCTAGGTCTCTGCTTTTGGTCGATTCTGCACCTCTTTCCTTTGAAAATGATTGTTTGCTTCTTGTTTTGCTGATGATTGGAAGGGTAAATTAGATATAAGATTCATGAATCTTACTGTGATCCTTTTCTTTTCTTTTTTTCTAGAGAATTCATTTTGTAGTTAACAGAACGCGAAAGAGAAATAAAGAGTTCAAATCAAATCAGAGAAACAGTTCTGTTTGTCTCCTTTCATCTTTTTCATTATCCTTCCACATTAGCATAGTTAACGAAGTTCGAAATTATTGGTACCTTTTCTTTTTATGAGAAGTTTAATGCTTGAGCTTATACTAAATTATCAGTTGTTCTGTCATGATGTTTTGAGATTTCTGTTACTCTTGATAGATACGCACTAGATGTGAATGTGGAGCGGGCAGAAGATGTGCTTGCACATAAAAGATTATTACATCTGGCAGAGGACCCTGCTAATCGTCCTGTTTTTGAAGTTCGTGTAGTACAGGTATACATTTATGCATGTCTGCCACCTCTATTCGTCATAACTTCATAATAAGGGATCTCTATTTGATGTTTCTCTTTGATTGTGATATACCCTATTACCCTTCTTGAAATCCTGGAGATTGAATGTAGTTTAGCTTTGACAATTAGTATTTATTGATGAATGCTAAAATTAAATTTGTTTGATTCTGGTTATCTTCTAGGTCTATCCTGTCTCCACCACGCCTTCCGTTGACTCTGTTCATTCTGATTCATCTGTAAAAGAAGATGCACAAAGTGCTTATCATTCAAATAGACTGGGGTAAGGCTCTTGTAGTTAAAGTTAATATTTCCATGGATTCTTTTTAGGCTCTTCCACCTAATTCTTTATAGACCCAAACTTAACTGCACTCTTCTCTTTTTGGGTATCCCTGCTGTCCATTTCTGTTTTTCTTCAGTATCCACCCACCGCCTACCTTTGGTTCATCGCCTCATTTTGAAGCTTTTTCTATTCAAGCAACTGAAGATAAAGACAGTGCTGTGAATTCAACATCATGCCTCCGGTAAGGATTTGAATTGAGCACTATCTTTTTTAAGTCTCGTACTATAAAGTGGCTTTGCTCTTTCTCTTCTGGTTATCTTTTGAAACTACAACCCTTGAGCTGAGCTCATAGCTATTTTCCTTTAACAAACCCACTGCTTTTTGCTAATAGTTGCATAGCATAATTTTACATAAATAATAATCTCTAAGGTGGAATTGTGTAGGCCTATGCATGAGATCACCTTTTCAACAGTTGACCGACCAAAACTCCTTAGTCAGGTAGTTGATGCTTCCTCTTCTCCTGTCTTGATGATGCCTGTCACTGTGTGTTCTCATAAATTTCAGATAGATACTGGCATCCTCTTTTTGTCGTTTAACCTGACAGATGCAGTAGTTTCATCGCTTATTTAGTACAGCAGTATTGGTATTGTAATCACCAACTTTCACATAAAAAGAAAACGATAAGTTTTACTGATTTTTTTTAAAGGGATGTCATGGAACTGCTCTTAATGTTTGCATTAGCTTCTGTAGAAACAGAAGTTATCATCTCTTGATTTACTGCCTCTGCATCAATTTAAAGGAAATGGTAATAACTGTGTGGTTTATTTCATGAGTTCTTTGATGCTGAGACCTGAGAGTCAAATTACAATAAAAGTTCACACCTCTGGTTATATAATACTCTTGACAGGAATGATATGACATCAGATTGATTTGAAATTTATGTATGCATTTTACTATGTTCTTATTGTAGGAAGATCCCATTTGGTATGCTTTTGTTGAAACTTTCTCTTGTAACGAATGATAGATATTGATGATTATTTTACAGTTGACTTCTTTACTTGCGGAGATTGGATTGAACATTCAGGAAGCTCATGCTTTTTCCACTGTTGATGGGTATTCTTTGGATGTTTTTGTTGTTGATGGTTGGGCTTTTGAGGTATTCTCTTATATTTGTTCATACTAATAATTTGATCAAATACTTGTTGCTAAGGCTGAAAAAAAATAATTTACTCATTAATCTTTTAGGAAACTGAGGGGCTCAAAGATGCACTGGAGAAGGAAATTTTAAAGTCTAAGGTACCTTTTCCTGCATGTTACGCTCATTCCACTACTTCTATTATGATGCTCATGAATGAAATTATATTCATCTTTCGCTATTAGTGTTGAATCAAGCCTTGCAGTGCTATTAGTGCTGCAGATGATTCATGAATATGGCTCATAATCTTCCTTTCTGTTGGCATAGAATTTCTTTGTGTGTACCCAAATTGAAGCTTTGGCACTTATTTTTAAATAAAATGGTTATATGCTTAATACAACTTATCAGAAAGTGAAAGGTCAATTGTGGTTTCCACTTTTAGCTTTATAGTGTTTGACCTCCTAAAGTATGCATAGTCACTGCTTTTCTGTAGATCAATCCAACTCCCTGTACTTGATGTTGACTTGTAAAACCACGGTAGCAATCATGTTGATTATGGATTACTAGGGCCTACTTATTTTTTTGCTTCCATTTGATTGGTTTCTATTTGGCTTCAGGAGCAATCTTATCCGACAAAGAGTTCAATATCTGTTATGAATGGGCTTGTCAATGAAGGGGTCTTTTCCTTACCCAATTGTGTTGAAATCCCGAGTGATGGAACTGATGTATGGGAAATTGATTCCAGGAAGCTCAAAATTGAAAACAAGATTGCATCTGGATCATATGGTGATCTGTAAGTTTGTCAGCTTCAATCATGCTTCTTTTTCCTTTTGACTTAGGGAGAGTACAAATTCTAACTCATCTCATTTAACATCTTCAGATACAGAGGCACATATTATAGTCAAGAAGTGGCTATTAAAGTCCTCAAGCCTGTGCAGGTTATGGGAGAATTGCTGAGAGAGTTTTCTCAGGAAGTTTTTATTATGAGGTTTGTTGGAGCGCCAGTATATGCTAATTGTTTTGAAGTGACCTGATTGCTTCCGCTTATAAGCATTCTCAATCTGTTCTATAGTTGGATGTTTCACAATACAAATTCTAGCCAAAACCCTATAAATTCTATTTAAAAACTATCATATTCTCTCATCTCTCTCCAAGCTATTACAATTATTGCTCTTCTTTTCCCTTCCTTCCCTATCATCTCACTTTTTCTGGAATTATTGGTTAGCGTGCATCAGTGTATAAGAGTCAGATTCTTGGATTACCAGCTGTTTCCCTGGGTTACCAGAATCTTTTGATATACTAGACCAAGTGATTGTTTCTGATGTTCAGAGATTCCATTTTTACCTTATAGGTAGGATTCTTGCCTGGCACCACATAGATTTTGAGCAAAAATTGCTCAATCATTTTTCCCATATCTGTACCTAAATTTTCCAGGCCAGTTCTCATCTTTGTATGGATAGCAACTGGTTGACTGTAGTGCCCAATTTTAGCTCTATTGATTTGCTCCACCTCTCTCTATATTTCTGAATTATTAGCTGCTGTAAGTTCCACATATTATGGTGAATTTTCAAATGAATATTATGCTGGGGAATATTGGTTGTTCGGTACTTAAAAAGACATAACTATTGATCCTTCTTATTCTTGAGAATATGATAGTTAACTCTCAAAGGAGGGTTAGAATGTTTCGAAGGTACATAGCTCTGAAACTGGCCATTTTTTTGTTTGCTGCCTGCATATCATCTATTTCCCATCCACGTTGCTGTTTCATTTCTCTTGCAAAGCACTGTATATTTCTCTATTTTTGGTTTGATTGGTGGTTGTAATGAAGTCTGAACTCCAGCATTTTCCTAGTGGCCTCTGGTTGAACTAAATGATGTCATGTGTCCATATATATGTGTGTGTGTGTGGTTTGTATATTTTGGGTGTAAGTATTAAAAGAGAAATTGGCAGATCTCATTCAGATACCTCATGGTCCCCACATATTATAGTTGAGTTTAAGAACCTCTGTAGTTATTGAAAGCATTGATGTTCTGATCATAGCATTGATTCTTAGGAGGCTGAGACTTATTGGTACTTATCTTGAAGGCTGATTCACATGCTGTGGAATTTCTAACTTTTTTTTTTCTTCTTTTTCCTGTTTGTAGGAAAATCCGGCACAAGAACATTGTACAATTCATAGGCGCATGTACAAGAGCTGCAAACCCCTGCATTGTGACTGGTATAATCTATTGAAGTTTTCCAGCTACGATTTACTATGCTATACTTTTTTCTTCAGAGCATAAAATTTTGAAACTTCTGCTTCTACAATGGTGCTGTTAAGTGTCGCTGTTTTTCATCTTTACCAGATATTATCTATAATTATGTTGCTAAAGGGAACAATTCTGGCTTTGGAGTACAAACTGAGAGATGGACGCAAAACCTACCATTACTAATTTAGTGTCTGAATTCCCATCTGTAAACCAAAATTTAAATATTCGGATGTGTATGCCTTTTCATCCCTTTAATTCTGTGATGATAAACTCTGTGGCTTTATTAAAAACAGAAACATTTATCAGATGGGTTGATAGAACAGCCAATATAGAGGCTGATAGCTTAGCTAAGGCTGATATTGGTTAGTTTTGTTGTTGAGTTTAGGATGTTTTGTTTGAGTGTTTCGGGTTGTTCTTTGTAAGGGGGCTTGGCTGTTTTAAACATTATGTAAATTTTCTGTTAATTATGAATTTTGAGGCACTCTTTTCCTCCTCCTGCTGATAAGGGAGCACCTTGGTGTTCCTTTAATCATGAAGGGGGGTTTTAACGAGGCCTCCACTTATCAAAAAAAAAAAAACAGAAACATTTTTCTGTTCGTTTTACAGATAGTTTCTTATAGTGACTTTTGTGCTTTATCAGAATTTATGGCCAGAGGTAGCTTATATGACTATCTGCAGAAGCAAAGGAGAGTTTTTAAGTTGCCATTTCTACTCAAAGTAGCCCTTGATGTTTCCAAGGGAATGAACTATTTGCATCAAAACAACATCATCCACAGGGACCTGAAAACCGCAAATCTTTTGATGGATGAGAATCAAGTAAGATACTTCTGTTAATCAAGTCACTGATTAATTAATTTTCTATTAAAAGCTACCGTTTTTTTTATTTCCCTTGTGAATTTTGACTGGGATTATAGTATGCTGTAAATTGTACGATAGATTAGCATATGATATTTGTCTTAAAATTATGGTCTATCCTTTATAGGTTGTTAAAGTTGCCGATTTTGGAGTTGCTAGAGTGCAGGCTCATTCAGGAGTAATGACAGCTGAAACTGGAACATACCGCTGGATGGCTCCTGAGGTATGCTTTTTTCTTTCTTGGACATTATGTTTCTCCTTTGTATTCTTTACATGGTAGTAGTTTAGCTACTCCGATGATCTTGTAATATACTTGGCAATTTTATGTTTCTTCACGATCACAAAAATACATGTTATGGTGTTCAGACTAATTCCCGTGTCAGAACTAAGAAAATCATTTTGCATGTGATGTTACCCCATTATATATAATCATCTTCCAAATGATATCACTCTTTTTTGTCATCCGATTCACCACCTTGTACTGTAGATTTTTCACTTAATTGACACAAACACGAATTTCCTCTTCCATCTCTTTCTCTCTTATATAGCTATAAATCGTAACAAGAGAATTTAAAAACACAACAGAAATGTGGTCATCAGGGAATAATCGAGGGATTTCGAAAATGAGAGAAGGTAGAGAGAGAGTGAGTGAGTCTTTCAAGAGCAAATTCGCTGTCGATAAGTTTAGAGAGGTTCATGGAGGAGTTACTTGGTAAGCTTTCGTCGATAATCTTAGTAGGCAAGTGAGACGCAGTGATTTATGGATTCGTTTTAGTCGTTATGGTAAAGTCATTAAGGTGTTCATTCCTCTTTTCAATAATAGACCGAAGTATAAGGTTAATACGTTCGCGTTTGTCCATTTCGAAAGCAAGGAAGATCTGTGTAATGCAGTGGAAAAGATGAACAACGTCTTGATTGATGGGAGGAGAATTTCAGTGACTGTAGCTAAATATAAGAAACATTCTGGGTTGAGGAGGCAGATTGCTGGGGGGGTTGAGGGCAACTAGTGTTGGTATTAGAGGGCGAAAGGTTGGAAGATTGTCTTCATCAGCTGGAAGGGTAAGGAAGTCGGAGATGATGAATAGGTTTCATGATGGAAGGTCTTATTCAGATGCGGTTGTTGGGGTACATAAAGAGACAGAGGTTGTGCAAGAGGTGAATCTCTCAAATACGAAGGAAATGAATAACACTAGGGATGTGTTTATTCCGGTGGAGGAAAGTGCTTGGTTGAGATCGTCCGTTACTGGTATTTGCAAAGAGATTCATGAAATTCAAATTGTGCAGAAAGCATTAAGGAATGAGGGCTTTAATGTAAAGGTTGTAAGGGGGCTTTGCTAAGAATGCTTGCTTGGTCGTGTTCCAATCTGTGGATGAGATGAAGTCAGCGATGGAAAGAATATGGGAAGAGCTGTCTTTCTGGTTTGATAGTTTGGAGCCTGTGTTCGATGAGGACAACATTCCCTTAGCTTATTGCTCGATCTCCATGATAGGAGTCCCTTTAAACTACTGGTCGGTTCCTTTCTTTACTAGGTTGGTATCCAAGTGGGGTAAACTAGTAAAGATCAAAGATGAAACTGCTCAAAAAGTGGACTGCAGAGTGGCGCAAATGATCCTGAGGGTCTTTAGTCCTTTTGACATTCCTGATCATACTACCATTACAACGTATGGGAGGAAATTTCTGGTCAAAATAAAGCTTGAAGGTGGTGATGTTTTCTTTCCTGAGTTGTCGGATTTTGTTGAAGATGATGTTCTAGAGGAGCCATGGGCGGAGAGATCTTCCAATTGGAGCGTAGAGGATGTTCAGGTGAAGCATGGAGGCCACGTGGGTTGTCAAAACCCATAAAAGGGTTCAGGACTGGGTTCAGGGCTCGCATCATAGTAAAAGTACAGAAACCGAGAGAGTTATCTCCACTCAGCATGAAAAGTCGAGAGGCTTGTCTGTAGAGATGGATAGTGGGAAGAGTGTGGGGGGAGATTCCTATGCGCTTGATATAGTTGACAGGGAGTTTGGGCTTCAAAAAGGACTAGGAACATTTAGGTTGTGTGGTCCGGATCAAGATAATGGTCCAATTTCAATGGGTTGTCTTACCTTTTCAGCAGATAAAATCAAGGATCCAGTGGGTATCGAAGATGGAGACGGGCCTGCTGTTGGTTTAAAGTTGTTAAATTCAAGAGTTGTTTCACAAGCAGGTTCTGCAAGCTCATTATCCATGAAGACTGCTCCGGTTGCTAGGAAACTAATCAGAAGTCAAGATATTTTATAGCAGGTCGAAATGCAGAAAGATTTGGAATAATAATGTGCAGGATTGGAAGAATGAGCAGGACGGGAAGGAGGTTTCCCGAGGGGTGTTAAATGATGAGCTGGGCAGGGATTTAATTTCTAGAGGCTGTCTTTCTGAAGTTGCCGAGGCAGCCGAGGTTTCTGCAAGGGACAATGATGGTCCTAGGCCGAGGAGAATTAACAGGAGATTTAAAAGATCCCTCATTAGGGATGCTATGGATCATGCTAGTGTCTCTACATTATCTTCATCAACTTTTCCTTTGTTGGTGGAGGAAGCTATGGCTACATGGGAAATTAGCAAGTTATTGGGAATATCTTTCAAAGAAGGGAAGGAAGCTTTTCTACAGAAGATTATAGAGTTGGAGAAAGGATTGAGTGGGGATCCTTGAGTTCGTATGTTTTTCCTTGGAGTTTAGGCATTATTAATCTAGAGTATCATGCCTAAGCTTATTATTTTGTCTTGGAACGTTAGGGGGTTGGGTAGAAGAGAGAAGCAAAGAGCTGTGCAAAAATTAGTTTCGGAGAAAAATCCTACTTTTCTATTTCTTCAAGAAACAAAACTCGAGAATTTACCGAGATCTTTTTTAAGGAGAAGTGGTTTGAATAGGTTGCAGAGGTTCGTTGAGTCACCAGCAGAAGGTTCTTCTGGTGGTTTGTTAAGTTGCTGGGATGATAGTTCCTTTGTGGTAGAAGATCATCATATTCACAAGAGGTTTATTGCTGTTTTCGGGAAGTTCAAATCCAACAATTTTAGGTGTGGTTTCATAAACTTTTAGGGTCCATCTGTGGAGGAAGAGAAGGCTGGTTTCTTTGAAGAACTGGGACTGTTTTTAAACGGGTATAGTATCCCTTTTTGTGTGGGAGGGGATTTTAAAGCATATTTATCAGAAGATGAGAAGGAAGGCAGGGCTCACAATAGAAACTCTATGGAAATCTTCAGTCTGTTTATCTAGCAAACGGGACTTATTGATTTACCTCTTATTGGGGGAAACTTTACTTGGAGTAGTAATAGGGATTTGCCTACTTTCTCAGCAGAATTCTCTGGGATCAACCAGTTTTTACTGCCCAAATCTATCTTTGATCATAATGCAATTTTTATTGAGAGTGGGGATGAAAATTGGGGAAAGCGACCTTTTAGGCTGTTCAATTATTTAATGTCTGAGGATGGGTTTGAGGAGAAGGTTGTGGAGTCATTTAAGGAATTTAAAAAAGACAAGAAAAGAGCTGGAATTTTGAGTATACTTAGGAATACAAAGAATGCCATTAAAAGCTGGTCTGGGGATAGGAAACAGTTCCCACGTATGGATATTTTTGTTCTTGAAGACAAAATTCACCAGTTAGAAATAAGGATGCATCAAAATCAGTCATCCAATGTTGTTGAGAATGCGTCAGAGTTGAGGTTGTTAAGAAAATGATCTTTGGAAACTATACAGAATCGAGGAGCAAATTTGGTGCCAAAATTCTAGAGAGAAGTGGGTTAAAGATGGAGACCGAAATTCTAAATTTTTTCATACATGCGCTTCAATTAGAAGGAGAATAAATTCTCTGAATGCTATTAATGTTGATGGTGTAATTATCAAAGATCCTGTCATTATCAAGTCTAGTGTCAGAGAGCATTTCTTTAAAGCCTATAACAGTGTTTCAACTTTGGTAGTGGAGGATTTTGAGTTGAATTTTTCTCGTATTTCTCTGGAGCAGAATTTAATGTTAGAAAAGGAGTTTACGGAAGATGAGATTTGGGAAATCATCAGCTCGTGTGATAGTAATAAAGCTCCAGGGCCCGATGGGTTGAATGTGGATTTTTTAAAAAATTCTGGTCTTACTTAAAAGGTTATATTATGAAGTTTTTTCATAATTTCTTTTTGGGGAAGGATTGGGAACATGGCATAAATCATTCTTTCATAACTCTCATCCCCAAGGGCTCTAATATTGGGGGTTTAGATGAGTTCAGACCTATTTCACTGTGGGATGTACAAGATCCTCTCTAACTGTCTTTCGAGAAGGTTGAGATGTTGTATTAATGATATTATCAGTGAGTAACAGTTTGCTTTTATAACTGGGAGACAAATTCTGGACTGCTCTTTTATTGCTAATGAAGGAATTGATTTGTGGAGGAAGAAAGGATTGAAGGGTTATGTTTTTAAGGTGGACTTCAAGAAGGCTTATGATTCATTAGATTGGAACATTCTCTTTAAAGTCATGAATAAAATGGGGTTTGGTTCTAAGTGGTGTAATTGGATTCGAAAGTGTTACAACTGCTTTGGTATCAGTTTTAGTTAACCATGTTCCTACTGCTGAATTTCCTATGGCTAAAGGTCTTAGACAGGGTTGTTCCCTTTCCCCATTGCTGTTTAATTTTGTTGGAGAACTGTTTAATCTGCTGCTCCGTAAGGCAGTATCTTCGGGTCTGTTTTGTGGCCTGATTGTTGGTTGCGACGAGGCTTCAGTTAATCTATCTCATCTGCAATTCGCAGATGATCTGATTATTTTTTGCAGTGCATCGAAGACACAGGTAATTAATGTTAACAGGATCCTACGTGTTTTCGAAGTTATGTCAGGCATGAAATTGAATCTGTCTAAGCAAATTATTTGGGATAAATATTGATGAGGAAGAGGTTCTTCAGTGGGCTAATGCTGTTGGATGTTCAGCAGGACATTTCCCTGCGGAATATTTGGGGTTGCCTCTTGGTGCTAAGAGGAATTCGCTATTGTTGTGGGATCCGGTTGTTCAAAATTTTTATAAGAGGTTAGCAGGTTGGAAGGCTAATACTTTGTTAATGGCAGGGAGGTTGATTTTATTGAGGCAGTTTTGAGCTCCTTGCCTACATATTTCATGTCTCTGTTTAAGATACCGTCTTCGGTGATTGCGAAGCTTAATTCCATCATGGCCAGATTTCTATGGGGAGGAGGGGTGGAGGCAAAAAAAATTCACTGGGTTAATTGGTCGATTGTGTGCGCTGGAAAGACTGTGGGGGTCTTGGTGTTCTGTATATTAGGTATATGAATAGAGCACTCCTAGGGAAATGGTCGTGGAGATTTGCAAACGATAGGGAGTCAGTGTGGAAGAAGGTTATTTGCTATAAATATAATCTGGACCCTAATTCTCTGATGTTTAACGAGGAACTACCTGCATATGCTTCTTGGATATGGAAATCGGTGGTCAATAATCACTTCAAACAGGATCAGTTTGGAGCAAAGTTCCGAAGTTTGTTTAAAGTTAGAGTGGGGGATGGAGGGAGTATCAGATTTTGGTATGATTGTTGGGCGCATGATACCCCTCTAAATCTGGTTTTCCCGAGAATGTTTGTTCTTTCGGTAAACAAGTATGGGAAGCTTAATGAGTTTCGGTTTGCAGGCTGGTCTTGGCATGTTCAATTTAGAAGGAATTTAAGTGATTGGGAACTGGATCAATTCTCTGATTTAATGGCTTTAATTCATAATATCACTCTTTCACATGACTGTTTGATGGGTTAGTCTGGAGAGGGAATGGGGAAGGAGTATATATGTCAACTCGAGTGTAAAGTCATGTTGTCCTGCAAGTACAACAGACTCTTTTTGGATGAAGTACGTTTGGAGGGGTTTGGTGCCTCCGAAAGTGGAGGTATTTATGTGGCAAGTGGTGCTTCAGAGATTGCCAGTTAAACTAGAGTTACAGAGGAGAGGAGTTTCAGCTATTGTTGACGTGTTTGCCCTTTATGTAACAAGGCGGATGAGTCCTCAACACATTTATTTTTTACTTGTGTTGTGGCGTGGTCTTTATGGAATAAATTTTTGAATTTCTGGGGAGTTTGTTCAGCTTTTCAAGCCAATGCTCAAAATTTTTTGTTTGCTTGGGAGGATTTGGTACCTAATTCTAAAATTTGGTCCTTCATTCCGAGTGTGGTTCTATGGTCAATTTGGAAGTGGAGGAATGCCATTGTGTTCGATGGGGGGAGGTTAGATCAGATTGATCTATTTTTTTATGGCAAGAAGTAGGTTGGCGTCTTGGTTCTTAGCTAACTTCAAGGATGTTTATATTCCTAAGGACTCTCTCATTAGTGATCCATCACTTGGGGATAGTTGCTCTTATTCAAGCTCTCCTATTATCAAAATTGTGCCCTGGTCACATCCTCCAAAGGGCTTTATAAAGTTGAATGTGGATGCGGCAGTGACTGTAGACTGGAGGAAAAGTGGTGTTGGAGGCATTCTTAGAGTTGAGGATGGTTCGGTGGTTGGTTCTTTCGAAGAGGCTGCTGGTCCAGGTCCTCCTATCTTGATAGAGCTTATGGCAATTAAGAAGGGCTTATCCTATTTTACTTCGATTCAACAACGTTTTAAGGAACGTTTAATCGTTGAATCTGACAGTAAATTAGCAGTGGTTTGGGTCCAGAATAAAGAACGATGTCCCTTGGTCTACATTGATTTAGTGAATGATATTGGTGATAAGTTTAGAGGTTTGAATGGTATTATTAGATGGGTTGCTAGGTCAGCCAATGTTGAGGCTGATACTCTAGCAAAGGATGGTATTGGATAGATACATTGTTCTGGTTGTTTTAGGTTATCTTTTCGCTTTGGTTTGATTTGTTGTAAAAGGAGTCTGTGTGGTTGTTTTTAAGTCTTATGTAACTGGAGGTTATTAATGAAGTTTTTTAGGCACTCTTTCCTCATTCCGCTGATTAAGGAGCACATTGTGATCCATTAATCAAGAAGGGGGTTTTAACGAGGCCTACCATTCCTATTAAAAAAAAAGAAAGGGGTTCTAATTTAATATTGCATTCCCCTATCTTAATTAATGTAGGTTATTGAGCACAAACCATATGATCACAAGGCAGATGTTTTTAGCTTTGGAATAGCACTCTGGGAGCTACTGACAGGAGAAGTAAGGCATTATTTTATGTTGAAGAATTTTGGTTTTAGGTTGTGGATACTTGTCTGTGGCGAACTTTCTTTCATCTACACGTGCAATACTTTGAGGTTTTGTATCTTTATGACTGATTTATTCTTACATTGCAACTGCTAGCTCCCGTATTCTCTCTTGACTCCACTACAAGCAGCAGTTGGTGTAGTGCAAAAGGTACTTTTATTTTTGTATAAATACAAAAAATAAGAAAATTTTGAGGATATTTTGTTTATAACAATCTAACGGTCTTTTCAGAATCTACGGCCTACGATCCCAAAGAATACACACCCAAGACTAGGGGAATTGCTTGAGAGATGCTGGCAGCAGGACCCAACTCAAAGGCCTAACTTCTCTGAAATTATAGAAATCCTTCAACAAATAGATAAAGAGGTACGATATTCATATGGCATGCTTTTGTTTTGTCCCATCAAACATTTCTAAGCATGTTACTATTGTGGCAGATTGCAGATAAGGGGGAAGATCGCAACATGAGCAAGTCGTCCAGCGGTGTTTTCTCATCTATGTTGAGGGGACAGCATTAACTCCAATAGTAAAGAGGATGCTGTGAACTACAAGTATTATTTTCCGTATTTTATCGTATTTTATATAGCATTATGAATGATTTTCAGCAGTTTGCTCTCTCTTGGTTCCTACATTTTTATGTGAAACCCTAATACTTGACTTTTCATTTCTTCTATTTATGCAAACTGTAAAATGGATCATCTGAAAACTGACGTTCATCATTGTCACATTCCCGGATTGCGACTGGAAATGTTTAAAATTGCTCACCATTTTTGACGAGAGTACAGAAATTGCTGTATTGGAAACTTTTACGGTATAAAAGGTTTTGACCTAAACCTGTCGCAAGTGGTGTTCATGGTTAGTGGAAAATGAAGGTGACGCTGTCTGGGCACATCGGCTGTCAGTCACTGTACTAGTTGAGGAGTTGGCGGGCACGAACCCTGACTTGTAACCTCACAAGTGCATGCATGCAATTCATTGCTATTTGTGTTTGTTTCCTTACATACGCCCCGCGGGCAACTGCTTGCAGCTTAACTAGGCTTCTCAATGCTCTATATGCTCGTCTTGCCTGTTCATTATAGATTTTAATTATCAAAACCAGAACACGAAAAGGTTAGTTTTAACCATGTTGAAAATGTTTGAGAAAGAAGTGCAAGTTAATATAGTTACAAGATGACCCCTGAAAATTGACTGGATTTTAATTGCTGCAATGTCTTCTCTGGTTAAATGTGTTGTCTGAGATGATGATGTTGATGGAGCTGAGGTAGGGAAATCTCTAGCTTCTTTGATCATTGGCTGCCGGCTTAGGTTTTCGCTGTGAAGAATGACGATATCTCTTTGGTGGGATGATTTGATGAACTTCTTTCGAACTGTGTTGAACCAGTTTCTAGCTGTGCCCATGTCTGCAAAGTCTGCTGGTTTTTGTTTCTTCAGGTATGATTTAATGTCGCATTCCCAAGAAGGGGTGGCTTTAAAGGAAGGAAGTAGTGCCGTGCGCACCACATTTGTGATAGTTTAGTTTTTCCTTGCCGAACAATGCTTGTCAGACTAAGAACGTGGGAGGATGAATTACTCACCCCCACCAGTCTGTGCTGGTTTGAAGCGTTCTACAACACGGCTAGCCTCAGTCCAACCAACCATTAGCTACCTTCAATGCTCTGGCCAATAATAAGTCAATGTGCCAAATCTTCTTTATATATATATATATATTCAAATGGTTACCTTGCAGGTTACGCCGGCAATCCGGCTGATATAATATTAGATGATCAATTACAAATTTATAATTTTTGTCAATTTGATCTTACATTTAAAAAAAATCAATAAAATTAGTCTCAACATTTTCATATCGTGTAAATTATGTTTTGAATTTTTAGAATTAGAATAAAAGTAAAACAATATATAAATATTGATGATTAAATTTATTATTATATCAATTAAAATTATATAAATTGATGAAAACTGATCAAACTATGATTAATTGGCTTTAATTACTTTCAAAAGTGAGAGGGGCCTAAGAAGTCTTTTTACCCTATAGAACCACATTACATAATGAGATATAGGTCAGAGCCTAAATTGTATATTAACCATTTTTTTCTGCATGGATTAGTGATGTTAGCGCTCTGGTGAATGGTTGAAGAATCAAGGATGGCAATTTGAGACACTAGACACCAGTCGATGTCCCCATTTTTGCATGAAAGAAAATAAGTTGAGAGATTTACCTAGGGATAGGAACGGGGCGGGTCAGACCAGATTTTTTGCTATTTCGATTCCGATCCAAAAACATTTTTTATAACCAATTTTGTCCCATCCCGATAAATTTTAATTTTTAAAATAATTAAAATAATATTTTATAATAAAATATTTATAATTATTTATTATATTTTAAAAGGGTAAAATAATATAATTTATAATATATTTTTTATATTTTTAATAATTAAAGAACATATTTTAATAATATAAAATTAAAATTCTTAAAATATTAAATATTTTATATAAAAAATTATAAATTAACCATGTAACATCCTCAATATCGGGTTAGTGATTTAAGTGTAAGATTTTTAAATCCAATGACCAAATTAAATAAATTGAAAAGTGAAGGAATTAATTTAAAGATGTTGGTGTAGGATTAATTACCAAATAAAGGAAGAGTAAAAGGAGATAATTGTCATTTGCAAGGAAAAATAATTAAAAATTTGGATGGGTTTATATTAACCCACGTGGAAGAGGAAAGGAAGGCGAAATTTGTTCCAGAGTTCTCATTCTCTTCTTCTCCTTGTTTTCCTCTTCTTCACGGTGGCTTTGGCTACAAGGTAAGTTGGATTTTATGGTTAATTTTTGGAATTTTAAAGAGGGTTTTGATCGTTTGGATGTTATATAAGCTAAAGGAAAGCTTGTATGGCATTAAAACAACAAGATATGTGTTTTAGAGATAGATTTGAAAAATTGGTATTTAGATGAAATTTTGATATGGATGAGTTTTTGAAGTTTGAATAAGATTTTCAACTTGTCAAGAGGTTAATTAAGGAATATGGAGTGTTAGAATTGGATTTAAAACATGTTGAAAATTTGTGTATAATTCTTAGCTTTAAGAATTTGAATGAAGTACGGGAGATTCTAAAGTGTTGAAATGATAGAAGTTAGTTAAAATGGTTGTAGTTAAGTTTGGTGGTATGAAAGGAACTTTGTATAAGAAAAATTTAGTGAAGAGTTGATGATTTTCGGGTTTGAACTGTAAATTCTGGGTTTTTACAGATTATGCAAGGGGAACCGATTCCCTATGGGGAGGGTATCGATACCCCCTAAAGGAAAATTGAAGTTTGGTTCATTAAATTCGTTTAAGCTATTAGTATCAAGTTATAAGGTTTAGACTTTTGATAATTGTCTCATAAATTATGTTTATGTAGATATCAAGCCTAAACGAGTTCCGGAACAAGTGACAAGTAAGAACAATCGAAGGATTAGAATCGAGTCAAATTAAGCAAGACTAAGGTGAGTGTACATACTAGATAGAATTGTATGGAGATAAGACTTATGATAAGTTTATCTCTTATAGTTGAATTCATGATTTCATATTCATATACATGCATCCATATATCTATATTGAATACAATGATTTCTTGCATAATTCATTTATACTTTAATATGATATAATATGAAAGAATGCAATTGTCAGAGAATCAATCCATGTGTGTGAAATAATGGAAATGATCATATGTGTACATGTGAAGTGAAATATGTGTTTATATGAAAAGTGATGAAAAAGATATGAAAATGAGAAATGTATTCATATTTAAGCCCATGTTATTTAATATGAGAGTTGTAGGTATAATTGGCATGCCAAGAGTCGAGGGTTATACAGTGGTCATTCGGGACATAATGGTCCTTTGGGATATATACAGTGGTCCTTCGGGACATATACAGTGGTCATTCGGGACAAATATTCAGTGCCCCTAGTGGGAATTTATTCGAGATGTGGTGACAGTATTCGTGCACAACCTCAGTGTACTCATTTACCTATTGTTCTCAATAATGTAAATGGGCAAAGCAAAGATAAAGTGAAGTGAAACTTGCATAGACAATAAATTTCATATATGCATGACATAGTCATATATGTTGTAGTGTAATGGATACATGCAGGTTATAATGTTACGATTGAACGGTAAGAGAGCATGTTTCATGAATTCATTGTTATATATTTAATTATGCCTCACTAAGTCTATGACTTAGCGTGTAAGTAATTTACACGTAGGTACCAAAAACCAAGAATAGCATAAATATGAGTGGCAAGAACAACAACACTGCTAGAAGATCAGAAGTAACTGATAAAGTATGTATTTTGATTGTAAAAAGTATGTTGGCATGTAAGAAATGTAATAAGTTGTTAGTACGAACGCTCTGATCAACTTTTCTAATGTTTTGAACGTATTTATGTAAATGTATAGTAATGAACGTTTAAATTTTTACGAGTTTTATGTACGTTTTACGTAAGTACTGTAGCAGGGAATCGATTCCCATTTGCAATCTGAAAAAATTTGATTTCACGGTAATGTTCATTACTGTTCACGGTACTGTTCACACCGTATTTTACTGTTCATAAATACGTTTTGCCTCAAAATTTTATAACAAACATTATTTAATAATATATTATCATATTTTCTTAAAATAAGTTCAAATATTCTGTTATTTGGTAAGAATATTATTTTAAAAAACAATGTGACATCTCAGACTCGTATTCGGGTCGGGTACGGGTTGGGGGTGTTACATTTAATGGTATCAGTGTTAAGGTTTAGTTGATTCTCGGCATAAACCGAAGTCTAGAGTGTCGTATAATGTATACATACCAACAAAATAGTGAAAACTTCTGATCTGATAGACTAGTAAGTATGTTATTTTGCTAATAGAACTATATGATTATGTTTTTTATAGATGACCAGACATGATAGCTCTAGAAGTGAAGCAAGAGATAATAGGCCCGCTGAAAGCAGTAATTCACCTGCCCTGGCTAGGCAGAGTGAAGAACATGTACCCTCGGGAGTGCCTGTAGCTGATCAAGATGTGTTCTTTAGGAAATTGGACGCGATATTGACGCGTTTCCAACCTTTTTCTACTTCAAATCCAAAAATGAATGTTGCAAAGGAGTTAAAGGGCTTAGTAGCACCAGAGTTTAGAGGTGAAGCCGAAGAAGGTCCTGTTGTTGCAGACCTTTGACTCAATGACGTGAAAATTATGCTCGAGGGACTTCATTGTTCCGATGCTTAGAAGCTAGATGGAGTGATTTCCTTGCTGAGGCGGCAAGCAAGGATTTGGTGGACCAACGTTACATTGAGAATGTCTGGTGATCAAGTAACTTGGTCCTTATTTTTAGAAGAATTTAAGCATAAATGCATCAGAGATCAGTTCATCCAACAAAAGAAGCAAGAGTTTATGAACCTGAAGCAATGGAACCGCACAATGTATGAATACGAGTGTGATTTCAACAAGTTGAGTCACATCGCTACTGAGCTTATTCTTACAGAGAAGGATGCTTGTGAGTGGTTCATAGAAGGAATGCGTCCAAGATTGAAAGAAATGCTGATTGTGTTGAACCTGTCTTCATTTCAAGAGGTGATAAACCGTGCCAAAGCTTTGGAAAGGGCTCAGAACGAGAGGTTTGGAGATTCAAAAATTCAAACATCTAAAAGAATGAGTGCATCATTGAGTTTTGCACCATAAAAAAGAGGCATAGATGTTGGTCCTCGACTTCAAGCTAGATCGGAGTCGATAGCATCCTCCGCAAGAGGATCAAATTCGATTAGAGGTAGACAAACCCAGTTAGTGGGATCTGGAACTGGGAGATCTAATCCGAGTCAAGTCAGACAATGTCCATATTGTGGAAGAAATCACTCAGGAATATGCAAAATGATTTTGGGAGCCTGCTTTAAGTGTGGGGACACCGGGCATTTTGTTCGAGATTATCCTATGATAGCCAGTGAATCTGTACAGCCAGAGAGGTCTGTTTCGATAATTCAGGGGAAGAGGTAGAGGATGAGGAAGAATCAGGCAAAATTCTCTACTCAACAGGAGATACGCTCCACTGGTCGAGTGTACAATCTTAAGACCAATGAGGATCGAGATGACCCGGAAATAATAGCAGGTATTTTTCAATTATATGGCAAAAGTGTTTTAGTGTTGATTGATCCGAGTTCTACTACTCATATATTAGTAGTAAGTTGGTGAGAGAATTGATTATTCAGTTAGAAGATACTAGCAATGAGGTGATAGTGACTAATCCGTTAGGGCGTAGTGCTCGGGTCAATATGGTATGTCGAGGATATCCCATACAGATTAAGGGAATTGAATTCCCTGCTAATTTGATGGAATTACCCTTCGAAGAATTCGAAGTGATATTGGGAATGGATTGGTTATATCATTATTACGCTAATGTCGATTGTAGACTGAAAAGGGTAACGTTGAGAAGTCCGGAAGGGGTAGAAGTCGTGGTGTTTATTGAATGGTAGAATCCATTGGCAAATGTAATCTCAGTGATGACGGCAAAGAAGTTACTACTACAGGGATGTCAAGGGTTCATTGCTAATGTACTGGATGTTATAGCTAAAGAAAAGGGGATCGAAGAAATTCCATTAGTCAAAGAGTTTTCTGATGTATTTCCTGCAAAGTTTCCAGGATTACCTCCAGACCGAGAGGTAGAATTTCAGATTTAAATAATGCCTGGAACTGCGCCTATTGTCATGGCTCCATACAGAATGGCTACAAAAGAGTTACAAGAGTTAAAGATACAGTTACAAGAGTTGTTAGATAAAGGATTTATAAGACCAAGTGTCTCACCGTCTCCAGTGTTGTTCGTAAAAAAGAATGATGATCAATGCGTCTTTGCATTGATTATAGACAGCTTAATAAGGTGGACCATCAAGAACAAGTATCCACTTTCCCGAATTAACAATTATTTGATCAATTAAAGGGAGCTTCAGTGTTCTCGAAGATTGATTTACGTTCGGGTTCAGAATTGATTATTCAGTTAGAAGATACTAGCAATGAGGTGATAGTGACTATCGTTAGGGCATAGTGTCGGGTCAATATGGTATGTCGAGGATCCCATACAGTTAAGGAATGAATTCCCTGCTAATTTGATGGAATTACCCTTCGAAGAATTCGAAGTGATATTGGGAATGGATTGGTTATATCATTATTACGCTAATGTCGATTGTAGACTGAAAAGGGTAACGTTGAGAAGTCCGGAAGGGGTAAGTCGTGGTGTTTATTGAATGGTAGAATCCATTGGCAATGTAATCTCAGGATGACGGCAAAGAAGTTACTACTACAGGGTGTCAAGGGTTCATTGCTAATGTACTGGATGTTATAGCTAAAGAAGGGGATCGAAGAAATTCCATAGTCAAGAGTTTCTGATGTATTTCCTGCAAAGTTTCCAGGATTACCTCCAGCCGAGAGTAGAATTTCAGATTTAAATAATGCCTGGAACTGCGCCTATTGTCATGGCTCCATACAGAATGGCTACAAAAGAGTTACAAGAGTTAAAGATACGTTACAAGGTTTGTTAGATAAAGGATTTATAAGACCAAGTGTCTCACCGTCTCCAGTGTGTTCGTAAAAAAGAATGATGGATCAATGCGTCTTTGCATTGATTATAGACAGCTTAATAAGGTGACCATCAAGAACAATATCCACTTTCCGAATTAACAATTTATTTGATCAATTAAAGGGAGCTTCAGTGTTCCGAAGATTGATTTACGTTCGGGTTATCATCAATTAAAGATTCAAGAGAAAGACATCCAAAGACGATATTTAAACGAGATATGACCACTATGAGTTTATCGTGATGTCGTTTGGAGTTACGAATGCACCAATTATTTTCATGGATCTAATGAATAAAATATTCAAACCCTATTGGATCAGTTCGTGATGGTGTTTATTGATGATATTTTAAATATTCACAGTCGGAAGAAGAACATAGTTTGCACTTGAAGATCGTTTTACAGATTTTAAGAGATAAAAGCTTTATGCTAACTTTCTAAATATGAATTCTGGTTGAGTGACGTGACATTCCTTGGACACGTAATTTCTACAGAAGGAATTAGAGTGGATCCCCAAAAGATTAAAGCTATTTTAGAGTGGGAAGTTCCAAAGAATGTGTCAGAAGTTCGGAGTTTTCTGGGATTAGCTGGCTATTACCGAAGGTTCGTTAAAAACTTTTCGATAATAGCAATACCCCTAACTAAGTTGCTGAGAAAAAAGCAAAATTTTTTTTTGACTCAGGAATGTCAAGAGAGTTTGAAATGTTTAAAGAAGATTTTGACAGAAGCTCCAATATTAGTCCAACCTGAGTCTGGCAAGAATTTCATGGTTATAACGAGGCATCCCATAATGGTTTGGGATGTGTGTTGATGCAAGGGTAAGGTGGTAGCGTATGTATCGAGGCAATTAAAACACACGAAAAGAATTATCCAACACACGATCTGGAGATGGTGTAGTAGTGTTCGCTCTTAAGATTTGGCGTCACTACTTGATGGTGAAAGATGTTATTTACATAAGATCACAAGAGTTTAAAATACTTAATGACTCTAAATTTGAATTTAAGACAGAGAAGATGGGTAGAATTTTCAAGGACTATGATGTTGTGATGAATTCTATCCGGAAAAGCAAATATGGTAGCGGATGCTTTAAGCCGAAAGACATTTGCAGCTTACGAGCTTTGTATGCTAGACTATCATTAAGTGAAGATGGTGCTATCTGTGCTGAATGACTCTCAAGCCATCATGCTAATCGAATAAAGAATTGCAAGCTAGTGATGAAAAGTGTCCATATAAGCTACAACAAATAAGAAATGGAGAGTGTACAGATTATGAGATGAAAGTTGATGGGAACCTATATTATCAAGGGAGGCTAGTGATTCCATATGATGATGAGTTAAAGAATGATCTATTAACGGAAGCTCACTGTAGTCCATTTACGATGCACCCAAGAGGAAACAAAATGTATATGGACCTCAAGAGTCGATATTGGTGGCCTGAAATGAAGAAAGACATTACAAAATTTGTATCTAAGTGTTTGACTTATCAGCAAGTCAAGGCTAAGCATCGGTTCCATTGAGACTATTACAACCAATGTCGATTCCTCGATGGAAATGGGAGAACGTAATAATGGATTTTGTAACGGGGTTACCTTTAACTCCAAATAAAAGAGATTCAATCTGGGTGATTGTAGATAGATTGACTAAGTCAGCCCATTTTATTCCAGTAAGAGCTTATTTCCCTATGGATAAATATGTTGAGTTGTATATCAGGGAGATTATACGATTGCATGGTGTACCTGTTTCTATAGTTTCTGACCGAGACCCTCGATTTACTTCGAGATTCTAGAAGACCTTGCATGGAGCATTAGGCACTTGACTGAATTTCAGTACAACATTCCATCCTCAAACAAATAGGCAATCTGAGCGAACTATCTAGATTCTAGAGGATATACTGAGAGCATGAGTTATATAGTTCAAATGATCGTGGGAAAGATACTTGCCACTTGCTGAGTTCGCTTACAACAATAATTATCAATCAAGCATCAAAATGGTACCCTATGAGGCTCTTTATGGAATGAGATGTTGTACGCCCCTAAATTAGTTCGAGCTTAAAGATAAAGAAGTTCTTGGTCCTGAGTTGATCCAGGAAGTTGAAGAAAAGGTCCAAATAATTCAAAGTAATCTCAAAGCAGCAGCTGATAGACATAAATCGTATGCAAACCTAAAAAGAAAAAGGAATTGAGTTTCAAGTCAGAGATAAAGTGTTTTTAAAAGTGTCTCCATGGAAGAAAGTTTTAAGGTTTGGACGAAAAGAAAAGTTGAGTCCTCGGTTCATCAGACCTTATGAGATCGTTAAGAATAGGCCTGTAAACGAACCGAACGCACACGAACGGAGGTATTTTCATGTTCGTTCATTTAATAAATAAACGAACACGAACATAAACGAACAAATTTTTTTTGTTCATGTTCGTTTATTAAGGAATATAACTTGTTCATGTTCGTTCATTTAATAAATAAACGAATATAAACGAACACAAACATAAACGAACACAAATATAAATGAACACGAACATAAACGAACATAAACGTTGGAGACCCTACCTTCCATTGTTCTTTCATGAAAAATAGTCGACAATGCAAATCAACTAAATCTACAGTGATAAATAGCGTAAGAGCTGATTAGCAGTGATGAAATGTTTGAAGATATCAAATATTTCGATCGATCTTTTAAAGATATTAAATGATTCACACGACTTTAATTTAACGATATAACATTTATCTTAGTGGTCCATGATTACATATGAACAATCATTTTCCACTACGTTATTCTAATAAATTCGTCGGCTAAAAGTTTTGTGACATCAATGTCAGACTTTAGTGAGGTTTGTTAATAATGGTCATTTCCGTTGGAAGAGTAGAAAATTTAACAGCATGAAGATTTAGAACGGTACAAATTGGACTACAAGGCAATAACATAGATCCGAAATCCCTTCGATGCTACATATCGTAATTGATATTATTGCTAAACCACCATTCAAAATTTTAACGTACCTAAAGTCTACTCCACAACTAAATGTCACACAAGAACTATGAAAACAAAATTTCATTGTCAAAGTGTATTTTCTACTTATTAATGGGTTCTTCCTGGAAAACTCATTACTTCCGCTATTACACTCTTTTGCAGAAATTACATATAAACCTTTGTTTTGTTTTCTGGAAAATTCTATATATTTTTCTCTTTACTGATGCTCATATACTTCCGATTGTCACCTTTATCTTCCCGTCTATTTCTAGAAAGAAGTATAATGTTTTCTTGAGTTTTAGATGTGAAGATACCCACAATAACTTTACATATAAACTATTAAGTCAAATAAAACAGAGAAAGAGATGAAAGCATATCTGTAAAACTTCAGATTGCACTATAATATAACTTGTTTTGAAGCTTTCAGCGATCGTCTCCACTCTCTAGTGAACACTAGGGTTTGGGAAAAAATGGGGGAAATGAATATAGGTGTGAGGTGCCTCGCGGGTTAACATATTGGATTTAATCTTCGAATAAAATTGGGTTAATTATGGAATTGGTCATCAGAATATCAGATTAATTAATATTTTTAAGATACTTACAAATTGGTCACCAAAATTGATTTAAGAAGATTGGGTTAAACATAAATGAATGAACATAAGCGAACATAACCGAACGAACATAAACGAACATAACCGAACGAACATAACCGAACGTTCACGAACGTAAATAAACGAACGAGACCTATGTTCATGTTCGTTCATTTAATTAAACGAACAAAATCTTGTTCATGTTCGTTCATTAATAAATAAACACACATAAACGAACTTCCCGCCGCACAGTTTATGAACGGTTCGCTGAACGTTCAGTTCATTTACAGGCCTAGTTGAGAAAGTGGGACCAGTGGCATACCAATTAGCTTTACCACCTGAAATGTAAAAGATTCATGATGTTTTCCACGTTTCAATGCTTCGAAAGTATTGATCTGATCCCTCCCATATTGTGTCATCAGAAGAGATAAAAGTTCAATCGGAGTTGACGTATGAGGAATAAGCTGTTCAAATATTAGCTCACGAGGTGAAACAACTGAGGAATAAGACTATTCCTTTAGTCAAAGTTCTATGGAGAAATCACAAGATAAAGGAAGCAACGTGGGAACGTGAAGAAGTTATGTGGCACCAGTACCCCTATTTGTTTGTACCATGAAAATTTGAGGACAAATTTTCTTAAGGGGGAGATTTGTAACATCCTCACTACTGGGTTAATGATTTAAGTGTAAGATTTTTAAATTCAATGACCAAATTAAATAAATTGAAAAGTGAAAGAATTAATTGAAAGATGTTGGTATATGATTAATTAGTAAATGAAGGAATAGTAAAAGGAGATAATGGTCATTTGCAAAAAAAAATAATTAAAAATTTGGATGGGTTTATATTAACCCACGTGGAAGAGGAAAGGAATGCAAAATTTGTTCCAGAGTTCTCATTCTCTTCTTCTCCTTGTTTTCCTCTTCTTCACGGTGGCTTTGGTTACAAGGTAAGTTGGATTTTTATGGTTAATTTCTAGAATTTTAGAGAGGGTTTTGATTGTTTGGATGTTATATAAGCTAAAGGAAAGCTTATATGGCATTAAAACAACAAGATATGTGTTTTAGATATAGATTTGAAAAATGGGTTTTTAGATGAAATTTTGATATGGATGAGGTTTTTGAAGTTTGAATAAGATTTTCAACTTGTTAAGAGGTTAATTAAGAAATATTGAGTGTTAGAATTGGATTTAAAACATGTTGAAAATTTGTGTATGATTCTTAGCTTTAAGAATTTGAATGAAGTATGGGAGATTCTAAAGTGTTAAAATGATAGAAGTTAGTTAAAATGGTTGTAGTTAAGTTTGGTGGTATGAAAGGAACTTTGTATAAGAAAAATTTAGTGAAGAATTGATGATTTTCGGGTTTGAACAATAAATTCTGGGTTTTTACAGATTATGTAGGGGGAATCGATTCCCTATAGGGAGGATATAGATACCCCCTAAAGGAAAGTTGATGTTTGGTTCATTAAATTCGTTTAAGCTATTAGTATCAAGTTATAAGGTTTAGACTTTTGATAATTGTCTCATAAATTATGTTTATGTAGATATCAAGCCTAAACGAGTTCCGGAACAAGTGACAAGTAAGAACAATCGAAGGATTAGAATCGAGTCAAATTAAGCAAGACTAAGGTGAGTGTACATACTAGATAGAATTGTATGGAGATAAGACTTGTGATAAGTTTATCTCTTATAGTTGAATTCATGATTTCATATTCATATACATGCATCAATATATCTATATTGAATACAGTGATTTCTTGCATAATTCATTTATACTTTAATATGATATAATATGAAAGAATGCAATTGTCAGAGAATCAATCTAGGTATGTGAAATAATGGAAATGATCATATGTGTACATGTGAAGTGAAATATGTGTTTTATATGAAAAGTGATGAAAAAGATATGAAAATGAGAAATGTATTCATATTTTAAGCCCATGTTATTTAATATGAGAGCTGTATGTATAATTGACATGCCAAGAGTCGAGGGTTATACAGTGGTCATTCGGGACATAGTGGTCATTCGGGACAAATATTCAGTGCCCCTAGTGGGAATTTATTCGAGTTGTGGTGACAACATTCGTGCACAACCTCAGTGTACTCATTTACCTCTTGTTCTCAATAATGTACATGGGTAATACAAAGATAAAGTGAAGTGAAACTTGCATAGACGATAAATTTCATATATGCATGACATGGTCATATATGTTGTAGTGTAATGGATACGTGCATGTTATAATGTTACGACTGAACGGTAAGAGTGCATGTTTCATGAATTCATTGTTATATATTTAATTATGCCTCACTAAGTCTATGACTTAGCGTGTAAGTGATTTACACGTAGGTACCAAGAACCAAGAATAACAGAAATAGGAGTGGCAAGAACAACAACACCGCTAGAAGATTAGATCAGAAGTAACTGATAAAAGTATGTATTTTGATTGTATAAAGTATGTTGGCATGTAAAAAATGTAATAAGTTGTTAGTTCTAACGCTCTGATCGACTTTTCTAATGTTTTGAACGTATTTATGTAAATGTAAATGTATAGTAATGAACGGTTAAATTTTTTACGAGTTTTATGTACGTTTTATGGAAGTACTCTAGCAAGGAATCGGCTCCCTGTTTGCAATCTGGAAAAATTTGATTTCACGGTACTGTTCACGGTAATGTTCATTACTGTTCACGGTACTGTTCATACCATATTTTACTGTTCATAAATACATTTTTGCCTCAAAATTTTATAACAAACATTATTTAATAGTATATTATCATATTTTCTTAAAATAAGTTCAAATATTATGTTATTTGGTAAGAATATTGTTTTAAAAAGGCAATGTGACATCTCGGACTTGTATTCGGGTCGGGTACGGGTTGGGAGTGCTACAAACCAGATCGAGTTAGGTAGATGATTTTTTCACTTTAAACCCGTCTCCGTCCCGCACCTGACTTATATACTACATAACCCACCCCCGTCTCACCCCGAGTCCCGAATCTTTTTTTGTTTTTAAAAAAACCCTTCCTATAGAGTCGGATCAGATCAGAAACCATCGAGTTCAAGTATTTTTACCATCCCTAAAAATAAATCAACTAAAGAATAACATAGGGCAATAACCCTCAACTCTCGAGTATAAGAGAAATTGCATAGAGCCAAACCAAAGAGAGAAGAAGGTCAAGAAAAGTACATAATAACTCTTTCATAAACATTTCAAATCTTACAATCCTTTGCTTTCTAAAGATTCAATCGACAAAAAGGATACTTGTTATCTAAATGTAGATAAAAGACATACATATAGTTTTATGGTAGGGAAATTAACTTTTAAAATTTTAAAAAATGACGAATTTATAAATTTTTAAAAGACGAAATAGATTTTTAATAAAAAAAATATTTGTAACGATAACTAATATAAAAATTAGTGTCGTCATCTATTAATCAAAGATAAAAAAAATTAAACGGCGTCTAAGATTTCAAATAAAAAAGGATAAGCGGCAGCCGAAATTTTCAATGGTTGATTAACTATTAACTAAACACATGGTATATCTTGATCAGAAAACTTTGATTAAAAATGTATCAACTTTGCCACCAGAAAATTAGTGTATCCCAACTCCAAACATAAACTTCTATTCACAATTTAACCTAAAATAAGTGAAGAAAAGAGAGTCCATTTTTAGACTGGTATCCTATTATTTCTTCCTTCCCTTGTGCCTATATCTATTTTAGCATCCTTACGACAGAAATCATTTTTTTACAAGTCTGACGTTAGCAATTTATTTGGGCTAAAGTTGAATCCATTCCAAGTTGGAATTTTTCTGGGTAAATTCGTTTTCTCACATCTGCACATTGAGCCCAATGATCCAATCCATCTGATTGGGTGTGGGCGTTTTTATGGAAATTTTTGTCCCTCTTTTCTCTTCAACGACCTTCGAGCAACTAGCTTGTAGCAGCACGACTTAATAGGTGTGGTTGATATCTTAGAACTTGGCTTCCAGATTTTCTAGGAAATGAACCCTTGCGTTGAGCTTGTTACTTCTCCCCGGAATCTGGGTTTTAAAGAAATGGCAAGCTTCACTGGTTTATCAGCTTCTCAAACTCAAATCTTGTGTCGCTGCTCTCCACCTATCTCTTTTACTGCCTCCATTTCGTCTCCACTTCATTTCAAAGTACTCTTCTTTTCCCCATCGCTCTCTTTCTATATCCTTGCTTGAATCTAAACGTTACTTAATTCCTTTTCCCCTTTATTGAAGAAGCAAGCGCCAGTACGGAGACTGCTTGTGGTTCCACTTAAGTGTTCATCTCCAGGGCCGAGTCAAGAGACCGAGTCGGAAGCTGAAACGATGTCGGCTCCATCTTCTTCCGTTTCACTGGCTTCGAGCAATTCCACGTATAATTGGCGTGCAGGGATTGGTGCTGTCGGTCTTCTTGAAACTGCCTACTTGACTTACCTCAAGCTTTCCGGTTCCGATGCCTTTTGCCCTCTCGGTGGTGGCAGTTGCGGAGATGTCCTCAACAGTGATTACGCCCTCGTTTTTGGTATTTAATTGTCTATATAAATTTCTTCTCTTGAATTTGGAAAATTTTGATTTTTTTGGTTTAACCACCGGTATCCGATGACTAATCCGGCGACCCTCCGAATCATAATTCTTTTGTAGTTTATTCTTATATTTATCACTTTCATTTGTTTCCCTTTTGCTCTCTGAATATTTTAGTCTCAAAAACAAAAACAAAAGTTGTATCGTCAATTTCTTGTGTTATTACATGCTTTACCATTTTGTTGCGAGTGGTAATCTCATAAATATAATCTTAGTGTAAGAATGAAATTTCAAGTTGGTTGAGTAAGCACGATGTTTTCAGAGGATAAGATGATTTGTGCTTTTGAATTTATCAGGTGTGCCTCTTCCACTACTGGGACTGATTGCCTATGGATTCGTTACAACACTCAGCCTGCAGTTGACCAGGAAGAACTTGCCTTTGGGGATCAGTGAAACGGACGGGCGTTTATTATTGCTTGGGAGCACTACCTCCATGGCTGCTGCAAGTGCATACTTTTTGTACATACTGAGTACACAATTTGCTGGAACTTCTTGCTCCTACTGTCTAATCTCGGCTTTATTATCATTTAGTTTATTTTTCATCAGCCTAAAGGTCTTCTTTGCTTATTCTTTCTTACATTCCCAGTATTGATCGGTTAGATGATATGCTTGTGCTGGATTTATGATTAAAACTAAGTATTCTCTGATGTTCCATTCCATTGTAGGATGTTGGGTTGCAGGAGGTACAGAAAGTGGTGGGTTTACAGGTGTGCATAGCAAGCTTGGTGGTTGCCACGTTAAGTACCTCGTACAGCAATTTACCATCTGCGCCTTCAAGGTGATTGGGCGTTAATTGCATGTAGCATCTCTTGGTTATTTGGACAGATATCTGTTTATTTGCATTTTTCATCTTCTGATACAGACACTATGCTTATTTCTCAATTTTGTCTTCCCTTGACAGCACGGGTAACATTAACCTTCCATATTTTACGACTGAGATAACAACAGATTCAAGTCCTTTTGCTATTCCTCTTGCAAGGCATTTACATTCTGTAGGAGCTAAGATGTATGGGGCTTTCTGGTGCTCTCATTGTCAAGAACAAAAACAGGTGCTTTTTTGCTTTTAGTTCTTTCTTAGCAGTTGTAATGTGGTACTCTTCTAATTATCTAATGAAGTCAGGATATTTATTAACTTTCCCGATGAATTATTTAGAGATAATGCAATTTTCAAACACATCCACTGATTATAATTATTACTTCTAAGAGTTCATGAAGAATTGGCCAAAAGAGAGAAAAAGACGACCATTGGATTTCCCGTTGTACCAAATACCTGGTTTCAGTAATGTTGTCACTTCCAAAATGGCAGTGATCTCTTTAGATGTATTAAGTAATATGAAGCCGATGAGTATCTTTGAAATTCTTGTCCAGTTTCATACTAACACAAAATTATTTGGTCGGTTAATCAATAGCTGGATATCTATGGGGTATTTATATCTGTTTTTATGTAGAACCAGTTCTCCTTGCCTTCATCAATCCCCTTGGGAATAAAGTCACTCTTGGCTTCTTATATTAGATTTGATTGGAAAGATAAATCTACTGCTTCTTTTCTTATACAGTAGGTGCATTAAATATATGATCACCTGCTTCCCGTATAATGGGAATGTCTGCTACTTCGATTCTTTTATAACTACGACATTCAACAGCATTGATTTCTCTTTTGATGCAGATGTTTGGGCGTGAGGCAGCAAAGTTGTTGGACTATGTCGAATGCTTTCCCGAAGGATATAAAACTGGAACTAAAATGATCAAGGCTTGTGCAGATGCAAATTTAGAAGGATTCCCAACTTGGGTTATCAATGGCCAGGTGAGGAAACCTTTCTCTTTTCGTTATTCTCCTCATCTTTCGACCTTATATTTTCTAAATACATCTTTTAACTGCAAAGTTTCCTCTTCTATATCATGTTTAATGTGTCATGAGCAGTGCACCTATCATGTAATGGACTGTAAACTTTTCATTCAGAATCGTTTATATTCTCATATAAGAACATACGATGTACCTGTTTCCAGGTTTTGAGTGGAGAGATGGAATTGGAAAAACTTGCCGAGGTATCCGGGTTTGAATTCAGTGGATAAGCAGACTAATCTACACCGGGGCATTTGCACAGCTTACAGAAGGTATGCTTGCCCCGGCTAAGATTTTGAAGGATGAAGTCGGTTTCTCGCACTCACGGGACGTAGAAGGTAGCATTGGTCTAATAACAAATTGAGAAGCTCAAAGATATGATGATAATGGTACATATTTGATCTCTCTTGTAATTCATGTATGAGAGTAGCAGTCTTGAAATTCAGCTTACATTGTGTCCCAAAACCCAGCCGTAAAATGTCACACAGACTTTGCTTAAAACTTTACTGCTCAATTTATTTGCTTGCCATGATTTAACATAAGCTATAATTTACGGCGTGGTGATACTGTAGACTATTTTCTGGGACATGCTCACCAACCAAGCATTAATGGTCGTCATTCAATGCATTTTCTTCATTTTGGTTTGGAAGAATGAAAGAAAACCCCATGTAAAATTTAGATGGAACTGTTTTAAACATAAATCAATGAGCAAGCAAAACTAATTAATGTTGTTGAAGATACTCGTGAGAGCTTGTATATTACATGACAAATAGGGTGGCACTTCATTAAAATAAGGTTTTATACTTGGTACAAAATACATAGGATTCTCTGTAATTATTGTATTGCAAAAAGGTTCATATTATAATCATGCTTGGGTTACATCTGATGGAACATGCCAGATTCTTTCTTTGGTGTTAAAAACAAAGTGACGTGAAGATGAGAGATTCATTGTGTGGATCCTAAATGTCAACTCCCAACAACTGACTGAAATTCATGGGAGCCACAAGTGGTTCCGGTGCACCAAATTGTGTCAAGACTGCCAATTCCGATGCCCTTTGTCACGGATGAAACCGGTCCCAGAATAAGTACTCGTTGTTGTTCGAGCAAAAGCTGGCCATTCGATTACAATCATAAGTTCCATTGCCGCAGCAAGCTACTGCAATGTTCTTGAAACCTGAATAAACAAGTTCATTGGATTTTGAAAATGATTATATATATATACACGTAAGCATACATCGAGCATGGACGCAACGAAAAGGATTGATTATAAATATTTTCGGTCATTGCCTACTCAGTATGTTGGAATTTGAGATGTGATTGCATCACCGATCAATGCGTCAAACTACCATTAACCATTATGAATCACCGTCGAACATTTCGAATTTAATTACACAAAAACTAAAACCGCTAAAGATTTTCTAAGTACTAAATACCTCACTGGATGGAATAAATTCTCAACTCTCTGAATGTGAAAATATTTTGAATGTTTTTTATACCTGGAAACTTTAACTATGTCGTATATTTATATTTCTATTTTTTTTCCATAAAAAACCACCCATGCTATAGAACGTGGAAGGCATTGCGTGAGAATAATCTCAGGATAAGCAGTTTAACAATCCACGAAGCAGCCATTAATAGTCACGAATCCCAATGAAATAAATAGTTGAGATACTTAAAATGATAATATTTGTAATGTTAAGTATTTGGAGTAATAAAAAAAAATTTATGTATCATTTTAAAAAATGTAATATAGTTTAGAGATTTATTTTTATATTATCAATGATGACATAAAATAACCTTATGGTGACACGTTAATATTATCGTTAATTTTTTTAATAGTAGGTGACTAAAATGAAACCAAAACGTAATGTTAAGTATGATTATGGAAAAAAAAATTGAGTGATCAAAACAAAATAAAAATAATAGTTTAGATACTAAAATTGTAGTTTACCCAAAATATTATCTGACCGACAGCTGCACTTTGATTTTCCATACAAATTGCAAATGTAATCTTCTACGAGCTCGCTCTTTCTTTTCTTCTCTGCTTTGAGTTTGGTTTTATCCACATTTCTAATCTGCTCCTAACTTTCCTTTTTCCTTTGAAATTAAAAGAAAAAGCCAAAACTATAACTTTACCAAGACCATTTTGATGTTACAACCGGTGTATTTTAGTGATTTGATTTGAAATTTGAAAATTTTTGTTGCTCTTGGGTGGGTTTGTTTGATGTCGACGGTCGTAGGTGTATGCCGCTCTTTTCGCGATCGAGCTCTTGCCCGATGCTTCCACTGCTTCCCTTGTCTCTCCAATCCTGGTATCCTATTTTTCCCTACAATAAAATAAGTTTTTTACTATGTTTTGTTTTGCATAATCCAGTTGAGTTGCGGATAATTAGTTTATGACTTTCCTTTTTTCGAATTGTTTTATGTTTTTCACGGTTTTTAGCGTTTTCTTCTAATTAATTTGGATTTTCTGATGGTGGGTTCTAAGCTCGGAGATCATCGTTGGGTTTGAAAGTGAATTTAGTGATGCTGCATCTGATATTCGTCGGCATTCTCTTTCTTTTCGATGATGGTTTGATTGAGAAAACGAGAAAAGAACCCTGGTATGTATAACGGACTTCATTCACTGCTATTAGTTCTATTTTCTGCTTTAAAAAAATGTAAATTTGGATTCGTTTGTTCATTTTTTATGCCCACTTTAACATCAAGATAATGCTTTTATATCATAAGTACATCGATGAATAAAGTATAAAACATGCATCTTCCTTAACTAGATGTTCTGATGTTTTATGTTCTTTCTTTCCAATCCACTTGCTTTAGTATTTTCTCTTGAACTTTATATCTTGTAAATGCTACATATCTGTGGAACCTTCAATTTAATTCTTTCTTCATTTTGTCAGGTACACAGTTTTATATTTGTTGTTGCTTTTTGCCACATTGGTTCAATACTTTATTACTTCTAGTTCTTCTCCCGGGTAAATACCAATAAGCTTTTACTCTAGATCAAACTTTTGAACTGTATAAAATATTGATTGCATTATTACTCTAATGTTTTTTTCTGCTTTTAGTTATGCCGTTGATGTAATGAGAGCTGTTAATGAGACAAACGTGATATATCAGAAGTCGGCAGTGGCCTCAAAGTAAGCATTTTTTCCTTTTATTGGTCCTTCTCCATTATTTATTCCTTCCATCTTTCAGAAGTTTGTACTAAATTGTTTTGGCTACAATGATCTAACAGCCATAGAAGTGGATTTATGCTTGAAATCTTACTATTTATCATGTTCTTATAATGTTTAAGCAAAGACAGCCTGCTTCGAGCAAAAATGGAAGCTTGATTGTCTTTGTTGAAGGGAGTCAATCGGGTAGAAGTTTTCAAGGGAGTAATCCCTCATCTTGGACAAAGCTGGTGATGGACATGTATTCCCCTGGAACATCTGTTAGGTATGTAATATACTATTGACTTTGTGAATAATCTCTTTCAATTACCTTTTCAATGAATTTATGTTTATAGATCTGCCAGGGTGCTAAGTGCCGACGAAGTTTATCATTTACAGTATTTTCTTTCGTGTATCTATTGCTGCTCTTGCCTTTTACATTCTTATGCTTGTTGCTTTTACAAATCTTACAAGTGCACTGCAGGTTGAAGTTTTTTACCACTTTATCTATGCTAGTTTTAATTTTATATTTCTAAGCTTGTCTGCTAGACAAATGGCATATGAATCTTGATGTTTTGCTTGTTTTAACCCCATAAGCTTGAGTTTAATCTGCGTTGTGTCATGCAAATCACCAAGTAGAATGCATTTATGTAGAATTTATTTGAATACTACAAAACTACCGACCCTCTTTTGGATCTTGCAGATCTTGCACTTGCTCCTATTGTAATGTTGAGCAGGTATTGAGATCTAACTTTTATGTCTAATTTTTATTTCCTTCATTCAATACAACTCGTTTTATTTGAATCAGGACCTCTTGATGACCTTTGCTTATGTTGTGCTACTTACCTAGATGGAGGTTTATTTTTTTGATAAAAGTTGGAGGTCTCATTAAAAACTCCCTTCGTATTCGTCCACATACTAACAAGTATGGTAATGAACATTGGAAGGAAGAAAAGAGTACCTCATATTTCATTAAATAAAACACCAAGCACATATGAAAACACAGAATACCCTCAAAAGGTGATAGACACCATTACGAAAAAACAGAATCACCTAAAACTCTCACCTCCTTAACCACAAATCCCAAGATACAATCTCACTATTGCTAAGTTGCACCTCCAATAAAAGAAAAAACAAACCAACACCTAAGGACATAATAGAACAGAATAAACAACACCTTAACTCATAAAAACGAAATCAACCGACTTTAAAGAGAACTCCACTGAAAGCACCATCACGAACCAAAGCCACCAAAAAAAATTCAGGTCCTAAAGAAATCGTCAATGGAACAAAACCGGACTTCCTTCCCATCATTCAATATGTCCTTGCAAGTTAATTCAAAACTCCTTTCTTTTGCTTGCATTTCTTCAGAACACGATTTCTTCTTTGTTTCCCAGGGAAAGGGGGTACTGCTGAGGAATATCTCTATAATTGTATTGCATCATCGAAAAGACCATTAGAAGGAAAGAGACCCATCATAAGAACATCTTCCGAGGCTCGGGGACTGACTCCATCAGAATGGTTAACTGATTTATGAACACGACGCTCCACGATATTTAAGTCGGAATGATCCATATCCTTCGTTGATTGAAACCCTGAATCATAACAATGGGATGAAGACAATCCTAACCCAACACCGACAGACCCACTTTTAATTACATCTTGCTCACCAATTTTGTTACTCGAATTCTCAACACCTTTGGCACTCTTCCTAAGTGAAACCTTTTCTAGGCTAGTGGCTTCAATTGCAACATCTTGATCGGAGCATTTTAATCCTGAGAAGAACACCGTTTGACTGAGAATTGTCTGGCGAATCCCCAAGAGAACAAACAAGATCTAAAGAGTCATCACATTCCTCTGGTACCCAAGACTTTGGTTTGAAAGAAGGCTCAATTTCATGAACCATTATTTTAAAGAAATTAGCACCGACCTTCAAAACCAACGTCTCATCAATTCTCACTTGAGCCTTTGTGAGGATTTGGATTTTTGCCCGATCAAAAGATGAAGGAAATTGAGAGCTTTCGTTGATTGCTAATAAATTACGCCACCTAGCTGCAATGTTTTTGAAAGTATCCCAATTCCAGGCGTGAAAAGGAATTCCTTCGCAAACTAACCACACTCGACGACACTCCACCACCAGACTCTCCGACCAAGCAGCAACTTTGGAAAACCACTTTGCAAGAGTCTCTAATTTTTCATTCTTTACCTTCCTCAACGTAGCAGAGTCTTCAAATATCAATAGAACGACATTCCCAACAGCTCTCATCAACGAGAAACCAGCGAGGCCTTTGTCTTGCCTCTGGCTAGCAAGATTACCGATTTTGATATATTCTTACACCACCCAATTAGACAGTTTCCCAGTACCTGAAGTTTATCTTCGTCAACAACACCATCAACTGCATAGAGATTATTTCTCGTAACATCTGCCCTCTCCGGCTCTCGTTGGACAGCTGGCGAGGACTTTCTCCAAAAATATCGTCGGGGGTTGTATTTAGCCATAGAGACACCAATTTTGCTACATTCAATGTGAGAACCAATCATCTTTAAGATCGCTTTTCTTGCTTCTGCAATTGTTGCGAAGAGAATGAAACCCCTTTGTATTTGTTTTGGTTGGAATGAATGCATCAATCATCGTACCATGGGTGCAAAATAAAGATCCAAACCTCTTCCAATGGATCATCTCTGGTAAGTTTTCAATGTATAACATATAGCATCCAATTCTAAACCCATTTATGATTTTTGAGCGGCCTTCCACCAATCATTATAACCAATTCTCCCACTTTTTGCTACTGCAACAGACTTGTCACCGCAATACCCAGCCTCCATTGAGACACGCCCACGTTAGAAGAGATCGCGGCGAACGGCGAAAGATGTTGAGAAACGTAGAAGGTGGGACAAACGATTAACACTCGGAAAAGCTTTCGGCTTTGAATCTTTAAACGCAGGCGATAAGGAATTAAGAAAATACTAGCAGATGATTGAGGATGTGTTTTTGTCCTTTGAGCATGCTGGTACTTTAGAATTGTCCAGTCAAATATGAAATCAAACTCATAACCTGCCCCATAGAATACAAGGAAGTTGGAAACCAGAAGATGCAAATATCAGTCTGATATTGCCCACACAGATACAGGATATTGCCACCACCATCAGAAAGGACCCAAATTCCTCTTTAAGCCTCTTCAGAATGCTCGGCTTGATCTTCACCAACCTCACGTGCAATACAGGGTACTTTATGCAAGTGCGTGCAATACAGGGATATAGTTCCTCCAAGCGGCTTGTCAAGGAAACGGAGGCGAAGAACGGAAAGTTGGGAGGAAAGGGTATTTGTTGGAGTGTCGAAGGAGAGGTTTGTTGATGGAGGGTTTTGGAGAGGAAAGGAGAAAGGATGGTGGTTAATTGACGGTGGGCGGCAGCGTCCTGGGGGCGTAGCTTGACTTTGATTTCCGTCAGTGGGAAAGGCTGATGCATTGAAATTTGGAGGTGGGTTTGGGGTGGAAGTGATCGAGGAGATGGAGAAGGGAAGAGGAGGAGGAGGTAGTGGCGGTGGAGGTTGCGGCGGTCGGTGGAGGAGATTACCTTTTTAGATCGGTTGCATTCACAATTTTCACAAAGCAGCAGCTGGTACCTTCAGGAAAATCGGTAGATTCGAAATTCTTCTTCTAGATCTACGCCGATCTAGTTCGATTTTGAGAAAACCAACGTCAAATTCATGATCGGGGTGAAGAGGCTTCAAATGGTGACTTTTTCTTACTTTTCCGATGCCGACGAGCGACGGTCGGAGCTTAATGACGGTTACTGGTGCGTCAGCGAAGCGGTGGCCGACTGGTGGGTTGAGAAGGGAGTGACGCCGGGGATGAGGTTTTCAGAGAAAATACTTTTTAAAAATGCCTGAGCTCTAGAGAAAAGTTGGAGCTTCTCTCACTAATTAAAATTACCAAATTGATAATTATGGTGGAGGTTTATTGTTGACTTTATATAATGTCTAGCATTATAGTTGTAGCTTTGATGGTGAGCATAGTGCTCCATGTACTCAGGAAACTTGTTAACCCATATTGTTGCTTTTGATTGCATGTTAATCGCAAAAACTATAACGAATCATTTCTGATTATTCAGCTATCTTTTTGGATGTTACTTTGCCTGCACTTAGTACCTAACATGGCATGTGATATGCTTCTTTGTGTACAACTGCAGCCTCCACGAGCAAAGCATTGCCATGATTGTGATAAATGTGTTCTTCAGTTTGATCATCATTGTGTATGGCTTGGAACATGTGTTGGCCGGGATAATCATTGCAAATTTTGGTGAGTTTACATCAACTTTGACATGTTCTTTATGATCTTACCTATAGTTTGTGAACTTTTGTTTCTATGGCATAAGGTGTCTATAATCTAATGAGAAGGGTGCTCAAACAGCAAAAAAGTTACTTATCATAACATAAACCCATGAAATATATTGACAGAGGATTTTCTTTTTCCCATTTGTTTTACGAATTGGTTAATTTTTAGGCTATTTTAATAAATTCATATAGTTGAAATATATTTTCTAATTTAGAACTGATTTGTCTTCTCCCTTCACAATCCTATAAATTCAGGTGGTATATTTGTGTAGAGACTGCATTGTGCCTTTGGACTGGCATCTTGTACATTACGTTCCTGAAGGCCAATATTTCAAGGGCTTGGTATGTTATATTACTGAAGTTACTTCTCTTTTCTTCCATCTTGGTACGACAGTCCAATATTTTATGGTGTGAGATAATGCGTGGCTAAATATGGATTATTTGACTTTTACTTTGGACCGGAGTGTTTGTTTGTGCCTATTCTGAAAATTTGACTTCAAAACATTTTGTTGACACAGGTGGAAGGATGCCATCATGATTCTATTATTGGTCGCCTTGTCAATTTCCATATTATTTCTACTACTACTGCTTCTCTTTCACAGGTAAGTTGTCATTTTTACTGTTTTTAGCATTGCATTTCTGATTTTGATGATTGGTTTAATGTTATGTACCATGGGCACGGCTTTATTTTGGGGACCTTTGTTTTTCATGCAGCTATCTTGTTCTGACAAATCAGACTACATACGAACTCGTTAGACGCAGGCGTATCCCATATCTAAGGTAAGTTGGTGCTTTTATTCTCTTTATTCTATTTTGCATCATGCAAATTGTGCGCGCACTAGTTTCATCTTGAAAAACAAATACAATGCAGTGTTTATGTATATCAATGGATTATTAACTACAGATCAACAGACTATCATGATTGATTTTGATAGAACACATTTTTTAGTTATCTGTTGGTACAAAGTGAGGATGGTCAGGACATTTTCTTTAGCACAGATGGAATATTTATCAAGTGATTGACGTTGTACTTGGTTTCCATTTCCATTATATGAAGGCAGATTCCGGAACGAGTATTTCCATTTAGTAAAGGGGTTTGCAGAAATTTACGTGAATTCTGCTGCGCACGAAGCAGCAATTACAGTTTGGAATCTTTGCCATCTCCTCAAGAACTTGAAGAAAAGTCGAGGCCTTACACTTGCTTAGATGTTTTAACCTGTCGTTGCTGCTGATATTATTGGGCAATGTAGCATTCAGCAAAAAAAAATATATATATATCGAGTGTGAGGTTGTATAGAAGCAATCGTTCTAGTTTAGTAGATATATGGTTGGCTGAAGGTTGAGTTTGCTTGTCAGGTTCACGTTTTAGTGGTGGTGAGTCATGGTTGTTTATCGTTCCGATGTGTTGAAGAAGTTGGAAAATTTGTCAACCAACATTTAAATTGTGTCTTGTATCTTCCTTATTCATCCAAAAACATGATGGAAACGCCATTGGAGTCCGAGCATTTCAATCTGTTATTGAACAGTCTCCGACAGCATGTGCTCTCACCTCAGAAATTGAACTTGTCAACCTTTTTTTCTTATTGCTATATATGAACTTTTCTTGTATTAATATGCTTACAAAGAATAGATCTTCAACTGGGATAAATCCGAATACGTCCTGGAACATTGCTTAGAGCCAACGGATGCATCGTTTTCTTGAACAGAAGCTCCATTTCATGGAAGTTTTGTATTCCATTCATTTGAGATGACGAAAGGAGATTTTTGGTTCATCAAATATAAGATTATTATTGAGAATAAGATTATCCGAATGTAATATTATTTTGTAAATGATGTACTATTACGTTTGATTTTTTTTAAAGAATATAAGATTATTATGTTTGGTTGAAAAATATATGATTATTTGGATGCATATTTCATCAAACTATCTTTGTGATATATGTTTTTTCAATAAATTAAACTTTCAAGATGACAATTATTTTGGTTAATTTTTATTAATTTTATTGTATGTAATATGTAATTTTATATTCTATTAATTGATTTTATGTAATAATAATTTATAAAAGATTATAATTAAAATTTATTAATTTTGTTTTAATACAAATATCATTTTTCACCTCATAATACTATAAACGATTAATATATTAAAAATTTAAAATATAATATAATATACTATTTTATGTATATAATTTTATGCAAAATCTAGAGAAAAAGAATTGAGAATGGTCTACAGGAAAAAAAACTCGTTATTTTAAGGATAATTTTGTCCAAAATACCATAAATTATTAATATTTTAAATTTTGAGAAATGACATTCCACCATTTTAATCGAAAAGGGCTATTGTTAATAATAAGTTATTATATCTTAGGGGAAAGATGACAAATCAAACGTACAAATATAATTTCGGAAAAGAATATTTTTTTGATAATGATCTTTTCTTTGAATTAAAAACAACCCAAAAGCAACAGACGTATAACTTAATCGATTACTGTCTCCATTGCAAGAAAATACAAATCAGTGCCTGAATTCAGTGATGGAACTTAACAAAATGTACAAATGCTCTGCTTCAGCAATGTATCAAGTAATGCACCCTATAACAACTGTACATAATCTCCCGTAGGTGAGACATTTGAAATTACATGTCAGTGTTGTTGATCCACCTCTCGAATCTCAATAGATTGGAGGACATAAAAATCCTAATGAGGAAGTATGTTGAGGAAAGATACTCTAGCATGGAGAAAGCTCCTAAACAAGCACTCTAATCCATCTTCAAAAACTTTCAAACACACCATCCAAAGATTCCAAATTCAGCAGTGCTGATTGAAATCTCTTTTCCTCAGAGTCCTCTTTCGAACCCTGCATCAGTAAGTTGCTAACCGCAACATCGACTCTGTCTAATTCATTCATTTTATGCTCGTCTGTCGAACCCTTCCGCACCAACTTCGAAACCAATGACCACTTCGAGGGCTTTGGCTTCAGCCTCGATGGAGAGAGGAACGATAGTAAGGTGTGAAAGATTGAAGCAGTGATCAGACTTGCTTCTTTAAGCAACTCAGCGACCGCGAACAGGTGACGGTTTTGGTCTAACAGGGGAAAGTCACCGAAAATGTCGTCCATTTGCTTCAATGATGCAAGAGAATTGGCAATTTCCCTCTTCATATTCTTCCTACAGGAGATGTAACCACTGATATTGCTTTCAATGCTTAGCTCCCCTGCCTTGCTTCGTCGAAGAGCCGATTGAAGTTCTCGAGCACTTTGTTTCATCGACAGAACGGCATCCCTCGTGTTACCGCATAGATCCAAGTGCTTCAACGAACAATCCAGCAATGCATTTTCCCATTCCTCACTGTGATGCTGAGCTAAAGCTTGCCGAGTGAGGGGCAAATTCAGAAGATCCTCTATGCAAATATACAACTCTGCTAGGCCGAATAGACCGGTGCAAAGTGTTTCAGCATTTGATGATGATGAAGCACCCTGCCAACACCTACGCTTATTCAGTTCCTCCTCCAATCGAAGCGTGCTCGGATGCGATCGAGCAGGGAAACTAACCGACCGGACACCGTGTTTTTTCGTAGACTTTGAGGAGAAAGCAGCCATTGTCACTCTGTTCATTCTATGATGAAAGCTAATCAAGTTGAAATAATAATCATCCATTAGCATTTATTTATACCAAAAGAGTTGGGGGAGATGGAAAGCAGCCAGAAATCACTGTAGGCCCATGCACCAATGTGGATTGCATGTGATGATGATATTGTGGGGTAATTTTCCTGTAGAACACACATTATGTCGTCGTCACATATCCCACCATAAAGAAAGGGCCTATAATGATAAACTTGCCTTATTTAATAAAAATCCCAGGGTTCTGATTTGGATACGGTGTATCTGACTCTTGGGGTTTTGTTTTTTCTCACATATTTCTGGAAATTCATCGTTCAGCATCAAATAATGCACCACCACCACCATTGTCGAACGCCGACCTGGAAATTCATCGTTCAGCAACAAATAATGCACCACCACCACATAAACTATGTGATTTAAGATCCGAAAAATGGATTTGGAACCTTATAATAATGTTGTACGAGTGGTACCTCATAATAATAAGCAGAGACTTGCCAGATAACATGTTTAAATGGGTACATGAATGCTACTACAGTACATTGAGCAGGATCTTGGTATGGATTTTGGCCAGCTTACTTGGATTCGAAATGCGGATGTTATTGTTTTTACCTGTAATGACAAAGTGGCTTTATTCTTTTGCTTTGAAAAAGGGAGCAGATATGCCGTACCTTATCGAAAAGGAGCTTCAATATTTTGAGTAAAGATTAATCAACCAAAGGATATATGGAACTAATCTGGTTTTGACACGTGTTGATGTCTTGTTTCGAGTGCCCTTATTCGTAGGTTTCATGGCCAACACGTGGAGGGAAGTGAAGACAACAGCAGTAACCTTCACTTGAAGAAAAGAAGTTGCAGGCAGCCATTTGGCATAAAATTCGGTGAAGATTAAAAACCAATGAAGCAGAGTGTGGACCTAAGTACCCATCTTCAACTGTTCAAGTAGTGGGCCTAGCATTTAAGTCGGATTTTAGTTCCAGATGCAATTGCCAATATGGGAGTAGCTAGGTTCAAACCTCCTACAGTTTTATTTTCACAATAGAATACCTTTTAAATAAAATCACGGGTGATTTAATCGAATGGAATTTAAGTTAAACTCTAATATAAACTAAGATAATAGTCTCTTAAAAGTTGTCAAGAAAAAATAAGATTAAAGAATAAATCCACATAATTTGGATTGCAAGACTTCAAATTGTCATTCGTTCTGTAACTATACAAAAAATTGTATGATGTACATTGAAATTGAAATCCCCTAGCATGTCCTCTAAAACTTGGATGCCACAGCAGGATTTGGCCTTAGAAATTAGCCATGACAATACTCTATTGAGAAAAGATGTTCAAAAGAGAGGTTCTTGCTTTTATCAGCTGCCTAAACAGGCACTCCACACGCTTCTCTACGCCTTCAATGCTACTCTCCAACGCCACCAATCTTTTATGTGCAATTTGCATCTTATCAACATCCAATCCATGTCTGCAAGGCGCAGCATCCACGCTTTCAAATTCATTAACAACATCCTGCTTCTCTTCACAAGCTACCACACCCTTATGCATCAGCTTTGCCACCAGAGACCATCTCGTTTGCTTAGACGAAACCGGTGCCGACAGAAACGAGAAAAGGGATCGAAAGATGGATGTGTTCGTTACATTAACTTGTCTCAGAACTCGAATCACGGCCCAGAAATGATGGTCCTGGTCCAGGCAAGGTGATGCATCGAGTTTATCATCCATTTGCTTCAACTCCAATATCAATTTCTTCGCCTGCTTCCTCATCTGCTTCCTGAAGGAAGTGTAGCGAAGGATGTCATCCTCCATGGTCGAAACAAACTTCCTCCTCCTCAGAGAAGATTGAAGAACACGAACATGTTCATTGATCTGAAACATGTAATCCTCGCAATGCCACAAATATCTAAAAGTCTTACGTATCCGTCCAACAATTCATCGACACATTTCTCGTGTCGATGAACGGATAGTACTTGTTGTACCGAAGCCATGTTGAGAAGATCATCCATGCATTGATACAAGTCTCCAAGCCCCGAAAGACCGGCAGATATCGACTCTGATGTCGACAAAGCCGATGCTTCCCAAGTTTTGATCCGGTTCAGCTCATCTTCCATTCTAAGAGTCGTAGGATGTGACCTCGAAGGCAAGCTAATTGATCTTACATGGTATCTGCCACCCATTTTAATTTGCATTTGTTTTCTCTTTCAGAGCTTGAATCTTAGATGGTTTAAAACCAAACCACATCAACATCCATTTTATAACAAAGCAAGGGTATTGAATGCTAAAATGTGATCACCATATGAACCAGGATGGGTTTTGTCCTTTGAATTCGGATACCTTGTCACATCACTTCACCGGCAAGGCTCAAATAATAAAGTATTCAAATTTGGGGTTTGGCTCATTTGATTCATATAATAAAAATATATAATATTGTTGAAATATCAAATATGCATGAGGTGTCCTGTTACTTTGTCTCCTTCTGCATGTAACCTAAATAGTCATCACCTGTTTTGCCTCCCTAGGTGCCACATTATCCACACACAGCCATACCATTTCAAAGTTTAAAGAATTGCAGGTGCCTCACTTTCTATATAGGTGGCTTACCTGGTTTTGTCTCAGCATTTAAGAACCGTTGAACAGCAAAAGGTATTGAATAGTATTTTTGTTGAGATTGGGATCCAGATCCGTTAGATAAAACCAAATACAATCATTTATAGGTTTATTATAATTTCAAGATCTTGATTACGGCAATAAGTGGCCGACGCTTGTATTGATCATAATATTGTGTGCACGAGTGGCACTTGGTAGCTGGGCGTAAGGACAGGTGCTGCACTCTTGGTTCAAAAAAATATATTTCTTTAAAAATAACATTATAATATATTTTATAGTTTTAGATGTAAATATACTTTATAATCTTAGATGATATATAATTTATTAAATAAATAACATTAGAAATCTTATTTATACGAGTGAAAAATATATAAAATATATATACGAATATCTTTATATGATTAGATAAAATTTATTTAAATTTAAACTAATTTGAATCATAATATTATATATAATTATAATTAAATTTCAAGAAAAATTCAAACAATTCGACTGAATTTAAACTTTTTTAAACAAAATTTAAATAATAACATAATACTCATCATCTCAATTACCTCAACATTTTTTTATACATTTGTATTGTTTGTGTTAGGAGGGTTATATTACAAGCAGTTTGTTATATTGTTTTTAAGTTGTTTATATTTTTATTAAAAAGAGTTGTTTATAATTTATTTCATGTCGACATATTTTATGATTTTTAAATTAAGTGTGCAGTTGAAGAGTTTTTATTAATAAAGTAATATTTTTTTACTGAGGGATAAAAAGAAAACATTTATTTCTCTCTGTGGTAAAAAGGGTTTTCTCTCACCTAATTGCCTTGGTTTTCTCCTTGACTCAGATTTCTAGAAATTATAACAAAGATTCGTCCTTAATGGTATTCATTGGAATGAAGAAGCTAATTACTGAGCAAGATTTGAAATCATGGAATCCTCAATGGTTTTGACAGCATTTTCTGTAACATATATATTTTGTTTATACAATTCTCTTACAAAATCTGGTTCTTGAACATGGACCATTCCTTCAATTCAGATGCCATGAACAATAAGGAGTACAGTAGTATGTTCAAAGTACGAGGATATTAAGTAAAGACACCCTCATTTTGATTAGGCATCTAAACAGGAAATCTAAACCTTCCTCCAGACCTTCTATGGTTGCAGAAAGTGTCTCTAGTCTCCTTAGTTCAACCCCCTGCATCGATCTTGGCATCGCTTTTTTGAACTCGCTCCCGGAGCGTATACAGTGTAAGGTCGACGATTCGGACCTCATTGAAAAACTCCTGATTTCTACCAGCAACAACTGGTATGAATTTTGATATCAAAGACCAAGCTCCGGCTTTTGTTTTCGTTACAGGCATCGAAAGGAACGAAAGCAGTGACCGGAATATGGAAATCGCGACGGCATTGGATTGTTTCAGTGATTTTACCACACTTAATAGATGGCAATCTACATCAAAGAGAGGAAATGCAACGTTATCGTTGCATTCCAATCGCTTTAGTACTCTAAGGCTTTTAGCGATTCTTTTTCAACTTCTTTCTAAAGCTGATATAAGCATGGATATCATTTCCAATGCTCGAATCTCGGCCCCTCCGGCGTAAAGCTGATTGAAGGTCATGAACTTGTTCCTTCATCATCGTAATTAGGTCTCTCGCGGTGCTACATGCATCTAGCAATCCGACCGAATCATCGAGTGCCTGCTCTACTGGTTTTACATTTTGCTGATGGTGAAGTGCCTGGTGAGTGAATGGAGACTGAATGACTTCCTCAATGTTGTTATACAACTTTGCAAGCCTAGTTAAACCTTCACATAGCGTCTCACCACCACCTTGAGTTGTTCCTACACCAGACAATACTCCGTAAGTTTTGAGCTCGTTCAGCTCCGTTTCAATCGAATTAAGCTGCAATCTGGACGGCAAGCTAATCGATCTGACCGGAACATTCACCGCATGAGCAACAGATGAGCTTGTCATATCTTTCACACAAGAGGTGCTCGAAATATACAGCTCGAAAGTCTACCGATATAAGCTCAGACATCCATACCTCTTGTATATATTTTCGAGAAAGCAATTTGACGCCAAAGTCCAATCATTGGCCATGTGATTGCCCTACAATTGGAAGATCGTTGTAGCACATATTGCCTACAATCTGCAACCGTTTATCTTTGTTTAATGTTACGTTGGAGAGACGAACAACAATGCATAGGGATGTTTATTCTTTGTTTTATGATTCGGAAATTATAAACAACCGGTACTGGCCGTGTGAACCGTATGTTGCCTTGCCTACTCAATGATTTAGTGCGATACCCTTGTTCCCAACCAGAGTTTATTCATGTCCTTAAAAAATTAGTTTAAGAACACTCAAGGCTGGCAAGTCATGATTCACCAATAGTTTAGAGCC